TCTTTTTCTGTCATCTAGCTTTGTAATTTGTTGGTAGTTATTAAAGCAAGCCTTTCTGCTATTCATCAACCCAGTGTTGTGTCAATTCATAAAGCACTAGGTTAATTATTCGGTTTCTAAGTGCAACACCCTGGATTTCAAATGGGCAAGGGGTATTCTACCTCAAAGGACATCTCTCTTTAGGCAGCTATCCAAGAATACTTCAGTCCATGAAGCATTATGAGTAGCAGAGACCCTGCCTTAATTTATGTGGCTGTACACACACAAATATAGTTCCTGCACCCAGTGTGTTCCATAAGATGCTTTTCTAGGCACAGGTTGGGCAGAATTAATGCTATTCATGGACAAGCATAAATAATCATTTAAAATTATTCTTCAACAGTGATGAATGCATGCACTGCCAATGGCTGTGCTAGGTATATTGCTTGAATGCTACAAGATGAATGACTCCATGCCAGAAGACACTCCAAAGCCAAAGGACTCTTTTATATGCTGTAGCAAGGCACTGGGGTGTACCTGCTCCTTTGAAGGAGCTAGCAACCTGTGAGGCTGCTAGCAGGTGAGGCAGGAGAGCTAATGAGAGGCTCACATGACAGCAAGTGGGTCAGGCTGGAGCTATATAAGCCCAGGACCTGAGTTGGTCAAGTAGTCTCTCCCTGGTAGCTGTAGAGGAAGGAGCTCCTGTCTAGGACTGCTACCTGGGGACGCCAGGCTGAGTGCTATGCTGCCTGTGGGAACAGTGTGGCTCAGGGAGCTCACAAGGAGCCCAGGGCTGGAGGGGATGCCTAGCTAAGGGGTGAGGGAAGGTTTTCCCTCTTACAGGGGCAGAGAGCTGCTTCCCCTTTATATTTAAGTTATAGCCTGGGGGCTTATAGTTGATGTTATAGTTACACCAGTGGTTTGGGTTGGGACTGTAAGGAGTGGTATATGGAGGTCCACAAAGGATGCATGATTGTCTTGAGCCCTACCAGGGGCAGGTTCAAGGCACGAGCAGCCGTTGAGCCCAGAGTGGGCAAAGTGTAAGGCCATGGGGCCAGGGGCCTGGCACCCGAGTGGGGTGAGGCCAGACAGGGGCCAGGGGCTTGGTGTTCAAGAAGGGCCCAGCAGACAGGGGCCAGGGGCCCGGTGCCCAAAAGAGCCAAACATCATTACAGTAACACCCGCGAGACTTGGGGCATGGTGTAGGGGAGGGTTTAGAGCCACACAATTAGCTCTTAAGGCTGCAGGTGCCCTGCATGGCACAGTTGGCCAGAGAGGTCTGGTGAGGGGCCAGCTGGACAGGGCCCACCCATGGGCAGCCTCCCTACTTGCTATTCCACCAAGGCATGGTGGGTGAGAAAGGAAGGCACCCTAGGGGGGCATGGTCGTGGACCCACCGGGGGGCATCACAGCCATCCCTGGGACCCCAATGTGCTACATATGCTCATAAATCTGCTCTGAACAGAAAGCACTATTAACTTGACAGGTGGTTATATGAGGAAGGAGCTAGCGGAGGTCTACTGTCTACATGTACTTAGGGTGTTGACTGCCCATTTATGTAACTTGTTCTGAAGGTAAAAACCCTGCTGTGCACTTACTGGATCGGCACTGAAAAATGCTGTAGTCAGTGAGAATCTTAAGTACTTTGCATATGTCAGGATTTGGTGTATTTGGCTTAATTTGTCTTCAGTTGCCACTCAGAATACATTGAATATTGTGAATGATTTCATCCAATGGTTGGGGCCTGTATTTGGAAGGTGCATGGGACTTTGTCGAACTTGTCTGTAGCCATAGCAAGGGCAGAATTTTGTTCTGAGGGTAACGCAATGGTTTTTTATGACAATTTTGCTCCCATACATACATCTAAGGAGTAGAGAGGAGGAAGTTGGAGACCTCACATCCACAGTGCAGACCTGAGAACAGGATGCTTTCCCCATAAACCCCCACTTCTTACCTGAGTTCATGAACTGATTATTTTCAGATGTTCTGTTCTTTCCTTCCCGGGCCAGAGTCTCAACACACAGCTCTTCTTCCTTACGCAGGACATTGAGGAGGTCGCATACAGGGGGGATAGCTTTGATCTGCAAATTTTTAAAAGCAGTTAAATCGCTCTTCAAATACTTGCCACCCGTACTCTTCCCACGCTAGCATTTTCTGTGCCGCCTCCTTATTTGATGGTAATAACATTGTCTTGAAATCCAACATGTAACGAAGTATTTAATTGAGCTCTGCATGATATCTATTATAACTGGGTGCATCTACACAAAACACTTAACTGAGGAGCTGACTAATTAGCTTTGCAATAAAGCATCACCATCTACAGATGCAACACTAGTAAGCTGCAGTAAGCTAATTCATTCCGCTGTAGAACAGTACTGGCTGCCCGACGCAACTGGACTGCACGTGTAGACGGGGCTGCCTGGGGCACAATGGGCTGCCTGCTGGCTAGTCTGGCACTGGAACACCCTAGTGCCCCCAACCAGCTCCTCTGCAGCACAATGAGCTGGGTTGGAGCAGCATCAGGCTGGCAGGCTAACCCTCAGAGCCCTCTGGGGCTGCTCCACTGGAGTTTATTGCTACCTGCTAATTGCACATGTAGACGTGCCCACTGTATACATAACCAAGCAGGCAGCAAATTACAATTTATATACACAATGTGATCAAGGCTGCACCTATCGTTCCTCTCCATGTGGGATTATGAACCAATTTCTTTCCTGTTAGACCCGACTGTGGCCCTTCACAACACTAGAACACAGAGTGGCGGGTCATTCTCCAAGCCAGCATGTCACTTCCTAAATTTTCTCACAGTTGCACCCCTAAAATCCGGTCCAAGACTATATTGCCCTGCTTCATTGAGAAATTTGGCTGCAAACCATTGAGGCTACCTGGGAAGAAGCGAAAAGAGAATTGCTGCTGAGTATTTCAAAACACTGATGTCAGCATGTGCCCCAAGTTAATCATCATTTTTCCCCGCAAGGCATGGTAAAAATGTCAGCCCTGAAACAGCAATTAAATGTGTGGTTTGTACTGTTTACTCAAAAATCATGTAGCTAGGGAACCAAACAATGTGCAAAAACCAGCAATTAAGGCCATTCGCGCACAGTTCCCAGTAGATGCTGATTGGGCCCCAGCTTTGTGGAAACAGAGGAAAAGCTCCCAGAGAGTGGATGAGGTTGGCTGGACTGATCCCACAGTATCTCCTCTCTCAAACAATACAATAAATAGTGGGCCAGCCCATTCAGAAGTGCATAGTGGTGCGAAAATGTTCCTGCTGCTTTAGTTATTGGCAACACCTACGTTTGCTAGAGCTGAAAGAAAGGTCGAACAGTCTCAGCCCTAGCTTATAGCAGAGTTGCTGCTTCTCTACTGTCATTTGCAGCGGGAAGAATATTTGTCTTCATTTTTTTTTCAGTCCACTTCTGTATATATGGCAACACTTTGTGTAATCTATTTCATCTGCCTCTTATAATCAATTAGTCAGTATTTCCCTTCCTAAAAAGATCCCTAGATATTTTAAAGGAGCAACGGAAAAAACCCCCAACCCTTTTTCTGATTAAAAAAAAAACCCCAGCATATTTTATTTAAAAAAGACAGATGGCAGGGTAGATGCGTGCACCTTTATGGACTAACTACATCAAAGATGGATAGCATAAGCTTTTATAAACAATGGGCTTATTTTATCAGATGTGAAAGGAATTAATTAAAAAGGATCAAACCTGATTATTTAATAAATGAGTCCGTCTTTACAAAACCCAAATACAAGTTGTTAGTGTCCCTTTAATCATGTACGCTGCTGGCCTCTTTCAAGTTACATTAAAACATTAACGGATCCCAGGAGCCTTGCAACAGCAAATTATTATCTCATACAGTTGGGCTGTTAATGATCTTTAGGGCTATCTGTTAAAAGAAACCAGAATGAAATTCTGGCCCAACTGAAGTCAATGGCCAAACTACTACTGATTTCACTGATGCCAAGGTTTTACCCCAAAAATACCCCTGGACTTTTTATTTTGGAAAAAGTGGGCTCCTTTTAATGGATTATCGGCAATGTGTTGTGCAATAATTAAATGAAATGAAAAGTCCTTCTTTTGTGTACAGTAAAAGAAACTTCTTGTAATGGCCCATGCAAAGAATATTCATATCAGAGAAATAATAGCTTCATGAAATCAGGGTTTCTAAAACAATTAGATCTATAACAAAAGTCTTCAAAAAAGGAGATCCTGTCTGTTAAGTATCTAAATGACTTAAAGATATAAAGAAACCTAACTATGTTTCATATTTTCAGTTAGTTAAATACTGGAGTTGATCATTTCTGAACTTTATGTGATATGGTTTTTATAAATGCTTTGCTGCATATAAATTAAAGTTATTACAGGAATTCTGTATGTTTCCAGTCGTTGGCAACACCAGCGCGATCGTCCTGTTTGGTATATTTGTGAAAAAGTACCTCAGTTCAGTTGGAAAACATGAATCGAAAGAGATTTTAATAAAGTTGTGATCAAGACCTTTAAAGCAATTAATGAAAATAACCTGGAATTCTCTGGAGTAGGTATTGATTTTTCAAGGTGCCAGTCAGCAGACTCAGAAAGTAAATAGTGATTGAGATGAAAAATAATTTTCAAAGACAGCAACATTTTTTTCTTCAAACTATGCATCATCCCTGGGTATCATTTCCATTAAGTCCTATAAGTTTTTATTTTAGAAAATTTTAAAAAATGTCTTTATGCTGTTTTCCTGTTTCTAGAATAAGACATATGCTTCAATTAATCAATTTATTAGGTATACAATTTGCATCAATAAGTTATTCTCTAAACAGTGTGTGTTGTTCATATATGAATAAGTTGTCGTCTTTACGTGATAGCTTGTTAGAGCTAAATCTACTAAAATTTTGTACGATACAATATCATTGTATCGATGATAAATTCATTTATCATTCATTTTATCATCTTACTTCTGTGAGTTGTGCCGCTGACTTCAGTAAAAGCGCATACATATATGGATAGCACGGTATCGCACTGCATCAGGTGATGTATCAAGAATTTAATTGCTGGTTTACAAACATGGTTTCCAAATCTCAAGATGTTCCTGTTGAACCAGGCCCCTCACTCTTTGACGACCAGTGAAGAAGGAGCAAAGGATAAAGACTTACGATGGATCCAGTTCTACCATTTGCTGAACACCCCCAGTAACGCACTAAGATCAATGGCTATAAACTGATAATGTTTTAACAGTTTGATCATTGCGGCATCCCCATAATATAATTTCCAAGTAGAAAGCCTGGCTCTAAATTCCCTGTACCCAGTGACTTTGAGCCTATACAATTTTAATTTCCTTGTGCATGCCCTGCCATGTTCTGTTGGTTAGGGGGAAAAAAGCCACTTTCTTAATTCAAAATGCAGAGTAGCATTGACTGAAGATAAACTTTTCACTCTAGACTGTCTCTATTTATTCCAGAATTTCTCCGTTTCCTAATTCCATTGATCTAAAACTCCTCCTGCATCCAAGCACTTACATTGTTCATGTTTGGAGGACAGAAAATTCCCGACATTTTCTATATTGTCTATATTTTTTATTTTAAAAATGCTACTTGTTCTAATCATATAGCAAATGCTCCATATATAACTATTTAGAATATCCAGGGTAGTAAATTCACAGAAATCAGCAATTCATGAGGTTTTCCATAACAATTAACTATGCATTTTATCTACCTTCGTAACCTATAGAAGGATTGGGTGGGTCCATACCTACTGAATGTACATGACACTATTAGCCACCTCTAATACACTGAACTTGAAGCTAGGAGTTTTGTTTGCTTTGTTTGATGGGTGGTAGGAGCTGCAAGAAAACGATGCATTCTGGGATAAAGAATTTGGGGAAATAGATGTGGTTGATTTTTAAATCTCAGAAAAATGTGGGTGGTTTGGGGGTTCTGAATAAATTAAGCTAGAGGCCCCCGGTGCTACTACCTATGAACCAGAAAGCAGAAATGAGAAGGAATGGGGATACATGGAAATGGTGCCCAGGGTTATTCTACTGGAATCTGATAGAAAAGCAAAACCTTAGTGACCCTCATTCACCAGGAAAATGGAAGGTGTAAGTGGTGCTCGGACATCTCTAGAAACAATGGGCCAGATTCCTTGATGCGATAATGGTCTAATAAAAGATATCAAATTCACCCAAGGAACCTTGTCTGCTCTTGATGAGATAAATACACTCATCCTCTCCATTGACTGCAATGGCACTGCACACTTTTGTATCAGCAGGGAATTTAGCCCTATTCCTACTTGGCTCACCCCAGATGAGCATACTCACCCATGGATGATATACTCATTTAAAAAGGTGGTATAGGCTGGCTAGTTTGATGTGATCAGGCCCCTGTAATCGTCTGAGACCCAACAGTAACAGAGAGCAAACGACATATTGTAAATGATGTATTGCATTCAAAATCCCACTGATTTTTGAAGCTGAAGGTAGGCACCCAGAATCTATTCTGTGAAGCTTATTCCAGCGTTAAATGCATATTTTTTTTAAAAGTCAGGCAGCTTCTGTTTTAAGATTTACGCCTCGGACTTTCAGTTGGCGTAAATCAGGATAGCTCTGTGGAAATGCACCTTGATGCAATACAATAATGGGTATTATCAACCTCATGTTATTAGATTGGGAAACTGAGGCATGGTGTCTTCTCATGGTCATAAGATGAGTCAAGCAGCTGAGCCAAGACGTGGATCTAGCACTCCTCATCTGCTGGTCCCTCCATTAGATGACACCACCCCAAGGAATGTGTGCGCAGTTATTTATACTATCAGTGATTTCAAGAGTTACAAAAGAAATAGCTGTAAATACTTACAATTAGAGTGGAAAACCAGAAAATTATCGCCAGGATGCTCCACATGGTCAGTCCCTGTCCGTCTCCTTCATCCCTTGCGCATCCAAGGTCAGCCTGAAGTTCATGTGCTCGTCACTGTGGCTTTCCCAACTCCTCAGTTCCTTTCTCTCTGCTCCATTCCTTTCTGGGCTTCTGGCTAGAATCAGCTTTTATCATCCTGAGCGACGTTCTTCTACCACTGCCGAGCCCTCACCAGCATCAGCGATGACAGCAGCCCCCCCAGACTCGCCTCCTTCTTTGCAGCAGGGTTCTGTCCCAAGAACAACAAGCACCTCTGTTGAGCATGTTCCTAGTGTTGTCCTCCTCCCCTCTCCGATATTATTCACTGCTATCGCTGCGTGTCGGTGAGGAATGACCATTCCTCATGCTCCCATTGATAAGGGAACAAGCGGGGCTCCCGGGTGAGTGTCAGCTTTGTGGTGGCAAAGTCAATCTATCAAAGGGAAATAGTTGTTCGCATGGGGGATGCACAAAGCACCGAAATAAGTGCTCTCCTGGGAACCAGGGCTTGTAGACTGAGATTCAGGCTGACTGAGCTGTCTCTCTGCTACTAGTAGCTGTGCACATGCATTTCCAGAGAGTGCAGGACGGATAAGTGCACGGAATCAGTAGACTGATAGAGTTTCTATAGAAGAACCAGCGGCTGCCACCTACCAAGCAGGGAGCAAACCATATTAAAGCCAGCTAAGGGCAGAGGCAGGCTCCAGAGGACAGGCTGGAATATGATCTGCTATTCACACCCCTCAAGAGGAGGAATCTAAAAGATGCCTGGGCTCCACCCACAGCCGTTCTATATGATTTTACAGCTTTCCACATTTCTAGTCATCATCACTTACAAAAGCCATGCTGTACTTCTGGGTGAAAAGCGGATTGTCCCATTCCTATCAAAAAGCAATCAGTGAAATACAAATGCTGCATTCATTTCAGTGCATGAGACTCTACAGACACCGTTAAGTAGTCACTAGGAAACTGCATTGCTGAGCATACTTACTACCTCATTTTTCAAGAAAGTACAAACTATTCTTCTTAAGCAAAATGTCTTCATGTGCATAGAAGAGATCTGCAGAGAAATGTCTAGATTGTCTGACGGGTCGGCTATGAGCTAAGTTTCTATCTAGCTCCTCAATGTTGTGAAGACAGATAGTTATGGCCATGCCTAGAAGCAGACATCTAGGCATGCAGGAAACTTCCTAGTGAAAACGTAGGTCATTAGGGAGTTTAAGCACCTTTAGGGTTAATTGACATCTAAGTGGGGTTTTGAGGACCTCAGTTTTGGGTTTTGGCATGTGTATACCTGTTCTAGCCCTTTAAAAGCCTTAGGCATCTTCATCAGCTGAGCTGGAGTTTGAGGATCCATGTTTTGGACACAGCTACCTGAAGCGGTTGTTAAACGTCTACATTTTTTCTGGGTTTAGCCATAAAGTTATGCCCGGTCTGATCCTCTAGAAAGGAGCTTTTGAGTCATGTGGATGGAAAATAAGATGTGGAAAGAGTTCTCAGTTGCTAAAAACTACTGCTTATTTTACAATTTAACAGAATTTAACTAAACGTTATAGATGCGGCAGATGGAGAAAAAACTTGAGACATTTCTGATTAAGGACATCATTTTTTTAATTAGAAATGCCTGCAAAAAGAGTCGGGAAGCACCTTTTCTTGTAGACATAGCTACATTATATCACAGCCAGCTGTTATTCCTTCACTACGGGCATGTGAAGATGTCCCAGTCTACGATCATATAGCTTAAAGCAAGCTGCGTGATCATAGATTGGGTCCTGCTTGTGCAGACAAGCACCGGTGCTGGGAGCTGCACCAGGAACCTGATCTAAATAAGTTGGGGTGAGGGGAGGGAGTTTGGCAGGATTGAGGAGGGCATGGTGAGTCCATGGGTGGGGGGGTCTGGTGGGTCCACAGGGGAGTTATCTGTCAGGGGGTAGGAGGGTTGAGGGCTGAAAATAGCCTGGTCGTGGTGAGGAGGGGGGTAGAAAAAGCTCATCCCTAGACCTGGGGCAAGTGGCCAGGCTTTCCCAGCCTAGGGGCTGCACTCCAAATGTGTACAGATGTTAGATAGGTAGAGCTAACCCATTTTTGCCTGATCTAACCTTCCCAAATGTATGCACAGATCAGAATTTAGATCATCCCACACAATTAAGTCAATCTAAGTATAACGTCTGTACATACTCTGTAGCATTTACCTTCCTTTCAGCCCAATTTATTCATTTTATTTGGCCCAGATGGATTTTTCTGAATTTGTTTTAATCTGTACTGTCCATAAAACGTTGGAATGTGTCCACACAGTCACAAATGAACTTTGTATTAAGGCTTTATAAGCAAAATAAGCAAAAGAAAGACCTTTGAACTGTATTACTCAGACTTCTGGAATCTTTCCACATCAAGCACCAACAAACTTTAATCTGAACACCCTTCATTTTCTTGAACACATCTATCCAAACCTCATATTTCTCCTTCCCATGCTAAATAATCCAACTGTTTGTAATCCCTCCAGTACAGTTTGACAACCACATAGGACATTTTAAATCTCATACTTAGAATATAGATGTGAGAAAAGAAATGCTAGAACCACTTATCTAAACCCTGATCCATCAAACACTCATGCTAATAAACCTATGGAAGTTTGTGGCATTACTCACTGTGTAAGGGTTTGCCAATCCAGACCAATACGTTGTGTTAAATGATCAGACACTAGAATAACGAGCACAATAAAAATACTTACTCGGATCGTTTTTTTTAATTGTCCGTTTGTTTTATTTATTGGGACTTTCTTTAACCTGGTCATGACAGCTGATTATCATTTTGGTTGATGAACTTCTCCTCTAATCTCACTTTTTCACTGAGTAGAATCTTCATCCCTGGAAGTTTTCAAGAGCAGGGTAGACAGACACTTGGCTGAGCTGGTTTAGTGAGGGATGATCCTGCCTTGAGCAGAGAGTTGGACTAAATGAGGTCCCTTTCAACCTTACTTTCATATGATCTTATGTCAAGAACCCTTTACAGCAATAGGCTTGGTGCTCCTGCTACTTTACAAGAAGGCAAGTTGCCTGAAAAGCAGCCTACAAGTGTGCCAAGGGGCAATTAGTAGTCACATTGCCTACAGGGGCTGGGCTATCATGATATAAGCCCAGAGCTAGAGCTGGGTAGGCAGTCTAGCTGTAAGAGCTGCAGAGAGAGGAGCTGCTGGGCAAAATTTGAGTGGGGAAGCAACTCTGGTGGTTTGTGGAAGGGACTAGGGGAAGGTGCGGTGATCCCAGCTGGCTCAGGAAAGAGGAGCCAGAGAGGGAGCAGGGCCAGCAGCCTAGAGAGAGAGCAGGGGCTAGGGGGCTTGGAAAAGAGCAGAGGGGTAGCCTAGGGAACAGGTAGGGCCAGGGGTCCCTTGGGTCTTATTGACCTAGGAAAGAGGCCAGGGCTCAGGAAGCGCTGAAGGTCAAGGAGGGCCATAACTGGAGGCTATGGGGCTGAAGCACCTATGGGTCTCAACTGGCCTAGGAGCAGGGCCAGGGTCTAAGGAGAAGGACTGATGGCCAGAAGGGCCACAGCTGGAGACTGAGGGGTCCAGAGTGCCTGTATCCCAGAGAGGGGCTGGTCTAAGGATGAATAGAACCAGGAGCCTGTAGCCCGTAGGGGTGGTTATGATCAATTAGTATGTGTGACAGCTGCAAGGCATAGGTGTAGGTACTGGGAGGAGAGAACCCATACAATTAGCCCTTAAAGCAATGAGCACAGAAACCTGTTTTCAGGAGTGTGAGACCAGGCTTGGGAGTCCCTGAGGCAGCTTTCCTTTTTCTAAAAGGTAAATACATGAAGGCGTGGCAGGAGAGGGAAAGGGGATGGGGAGATTGCCCAAAAAAGAGTGAAGTTGATGAGGACTGGGGGGCTCCAGGGGCATCACAGCCACCCCTAGAGCACGACCCTGTTATATCTTTATAAAGCACCTTTCCAAACATACATTATGTTCAGATACATGGATTTTGTGGAGAAAGCGGGGGCTGATATATATGGACCCAAATATGTCTGTACAGATAGGCAAAGAGATAGAGATGTACATGCATGCCTTTGATGAGGTTCCTGTGGATTAATATTATAATACCTTAATTGTTATAACTTGTTCCCATTTGTTAATCTATTTCTAAATGCCTGAAGTGTCTCTCCCAAGTAAATGTATTCATTGCCCTGTTAATCTGTGTGCCTAAACAAATTTAGAGAGGGATTTTTGCAATTAAACCCTAGAACTGAGGATTCTTTCAGTGCCAAAAACACTGCCACAAGGCAACACCTCTTCTTTTCATCATCCAATGGCCCTCTAACACACTCATTCTGCAAAACAACAGAACTTCTATTAACATGGTAGTGAAAGGTTGGGCAGATTGAGGATCTGCTGTCTGTTGTGGCTGTACGGAGCACTGCACTACTTACTATTCATTCTGTGTCTAAGTCAAAGGTTTTCAACCTTTTTAGATTCAAGATCCCCTCCATGACTTTTGTGAATTGAGTGGGGCCCCGTTTCAAAAACTAACTTATTACACTGCTTAGTGCTTACCTCCTTTCACAGGGGCTAAGCAGCATGGTGGTGCAAGTGAGGAGAGAAGCAGTTGGGCAGGAACAAGCATGTGCTTACAGGGCCCAGGCAGTTGGGTGTAGGCAAGCAGCCAAGTAGGGTCTAGCTTGAGCCTGCACTCATCTCCTCATACCTCAGGGCACCCTTCAGAGCATCTTGCAGAACTTCAGAGTACCATGGCACCTTGTTAGAGACTCACTGGCCTAGGTCAAAGACAAAGGCTTCTAGGAGAGTAAATTTAACTACTGGAAAAGGCTATAATTTAAAGTTTGGGACATAGCCAAGCTGACACAGGAAGTCTGTGGCAGAGAACGGGCTTGAATCCAAGTACTCTAGATCTCAACCTAGTGCCTTTATCACTGGACCACCTTCCCTTTGTCTTAGAGCCTCTTAACCAACAGGAAATGTTACCTACTGCTAATGACAGTGGGTTAATTGTTGTTCCTGTCGTATGGGGTAAGGAAGAACCTGCACTATGTTATCCAAAAAAACTTGCTATTATTTTATCCTACAACAATATCACTCTCTAAATTGAGATTCATTCATTAATAATCTATAGGTAAATATTTCTCTGTCAGCTTTTGAATATCCTGTATCCCTGAGTGCGCATTTGTCATCCTTTAAAACTGTACCCTTGCATTGAAAATATGCAAAGCCCTTCAGATTCCTCTATAAAAATGTAAGCTACTTTTTATCAATGATTTTTTTCTGCTTTGCTTATTGCAGTTCAATAGAGTGGCACGTGCATATGTGTATGTGCATATGTGTATGTGCACACATGCTTATGTACATGAATGAATGGATGTAACACTGCTTTCTCCTGGATAAAACTATTTTGTTATGCTTCCCAGACCATATGCAGTTCATGGCTATTGGAGATTTATTCAGTTCATCTGAGGATCTTGACAACTCTGAAGTCCAAAAGAGCCATGGATTTCCTACCTTCAAGATAAGCATAAAAATTAGAGGGATAAACATAATTTTTTAGACAAAATTTTCTCCTAAATGCAGATGCTTCCATGTCAATATACAGAATATAAACATGATCCATTTTTAATTGCTTGCACTTTTATTTTACTAACAATAAGAAATACATTAATCCAAGTAGATATTTATGAGAATTTATTAAAATTCTTTCAGATCTCTTGCTTAGTTTGAGTTGAGATTTAAGCTTTATCTTTTTTTTTTTTTTTAATCTTCCCTATATTTAATAGGACAGAATTATTTAACTTGTGAGTATGACAAAAAAAAAGCTTTGGAAACATTTTCTTCCTTCCATATATAGCATCTTTAAGAGATTTTACAAACAATGGTGCAGTTATCTAAGTGACTTGTTCCAGATGTGCATTTAACTGACAAGAAAAATATCTGCCGACTGAAAAGCAAGTTGGACCACCACAAAATATTTTAATAACAATTGCATTTTAGATAGCATACAATGGGAATAAGTAAACTAAAATAGTCTGGTATTCGTTGTCTGGAACATCCATTGCCTTCAGAGCGAGTTCCAAGTCCGGAGGACTTGTAAGACTGGGCCCCGACTAAATATAGATTTTAAAGATACAACAGTACCTTCAATAGCACAGAATGTCATTATTTATGTCAATGGTCATTATCCTCTTCCCTTTGTTTAAGAGAGAGTAAAAAATACATCAGTGATAATCAGGAGAAGCTTAGACAATCTGTGTTTGTGTTTCGAGGGGCTGACAGAGAACACTCCTTCTTGAAGGATAAGGCTATGCAGGGTGTGTAGAAGGGAATTTTCTTTGCTTTCAGCTTGTAATGAAATTTTCTAGGGATATTCTTAAGTCCACAGAAGCTAAAAATATAGAACACACACCTCTTCTTACCTCTTCCCAGCAAAAAAGCACCAAACCCTTTGTTAAGGGCTTATCAGGAAAAATATTTGTCTTGTACATTTATGCTTCCAATGAAACAGGTTGTTTTCAGAGAAATAGTATTCTTCAACAGCACATGCTACCGAATATTGTAGCATCTCTCAAATGTACAAAGAGTTTGGCCTGAAAGCAAAATTGCCATTTCCTTGTCTGAGCCAAATGACATCCTAAAAGGGTTATACAGTGAGTGTTATGTGGCCTAAAAAATGGGTCTCAGTCCTAACTGAGTCCTTCAGGAGCTCTGTAATATAAGTAATAACAATCCAATAGTATTCATCATGAAAAGTATATGATGAGTCCCTTTGGGGGCCTGACAGTGGAAAGTCTAATTAACACTGGCCGCGTCTACACCTGTACCCAAGTACTAAATGACTATGCAGTCACCGGTGTGACTGCACAGTAGCATCCCCGCATGGCTTCCTGGTGACGTGGGCTGCGTAGTAGCTCGTTACTGCTGCGCAGGAGTGTCGCGTCATGATTCATGTCACACAATGCCAGTAACGAGCTACTGCGCAGTCAGCATCCCGTGTAGATGCAGCCACTGGGTCGAACTGATTTTTGCATAGAAGAACAAGGCCAATGCATCAAGCCCTCAAAATAGGACTTAGGTAGGACTTATATATCTCGCCATCTGCAATTTCACCCAGAGCAAGTAATCTTCTTATGGAAGGCAATGAGGTTACTAACCTGCTTAACAGCAGACAGAATCAGGCCTTTTCTTTGTAAAATGGATGTCCCCAGTGAAGCAAACAGGCGGCATAAAAATACAGTTTGAACCCCACTGCGGCTGCCTGAAAAGATCGGCAAAGATTTTATTTTGTCTGATTTAAAATAAAAAATGACAGTATTGACCGATTCTTTTATCTGGATTTATTGCTATTACGGGATAAACTTTCATCTAATCCAATTACATCTGCAAGTATCAAGCATCTCCAAGATGGATTTCATTATTATAACCTTGAACAAGTTAATAGCCAAAGTCCCACTTGGTTTCTTTCCAGGGATTTTTAAAAGATCATTCTGCTCCCTAGATGGAACCGTTCGTGCCTTGCAAATGCAACCTTTGCTTTTACAAGAAAACTGCAGTATTTATCATGTGAACTTCTGGAGCAAGTTTGTGACTCAAGTGGGCAGGGGATGCTGCAGGGTTTCTTTGGGAATTGGTGTATTGTCTGTATGTATGGGGTCATTTGTATGTAGAGTGTATGTTTGTATGTACAGTGTTGTAATTGGTGTATTGTTTGTACATACGATTTTTGTTCAAATCATTCCTCAGCACTTTGCATGCCACACAATTACAAATGTGAGTAAAATGATATAGAATAATGCTAATTACTGACAGCACGTACGATGCACCCCTTGTCAAAGTGTCTAGCGGAACAAAAGCAGGAGTTCAATGAATACTTCAATATGCGAATACTTCAGTATGTGAAGACCGAAGGTTACTCTCACCAGCAAATGCTGAAGGATGCAAGGAGAATCAGGACTCGTGGTAGAGGTGATATCTTTTACTTAGACCAACTTGATTTTTGCAAAACAATTTCTTTAATTACAACCTGGGTACCTGAAGGATGCAAAGGGTTTTAGTTCAGATGCCTAAAGGGGCATCCCCCAGTTGCACGTGACAGGGATGGATGGTCTCATCCCAGGGCTGATCCTCCTGTGACCCCTTAGATTATTAAGACTTAAAGGATTCCCCCAAAAACACAGCAGCAGAGGCCTCCCTCACCTCTGCCTGCTCAGACCCAAACCCTCTGCTCTGCATATTCCCAGTCTGCCCCTTTCTGGCTAACTAATGGTGCAGTCGAAGACTAAATGTATCCCCCCCAGATCCTTTCAGGAGCCGCTGCATTGAATCTGGAGGGTAACATTTTAAAAATTAGAGGAACACCACTTTGCAGGTGGTGGAAAAATCCATTTCCTCCCTTGTCATTTCTACCCCCAAACTTTGCAGTGTCTCCCCCCGCACAGCAGGTACAAGTGGTGCAGCCTGTTCCAGGCTTTGTGTCTTGGGACTGAGTTGATGGTCGCCTAGCAACCAGGGCAGGGGACCTGGGCAGCAGATGCAGCCAGCCCTGTGCACAGGGTGGGTAGGTTGCTGGGCCTCCCTCTCCCCCCAGCCCCTACTCATGGCAGTGGCCAAGGTCTTTGGGAGCAGACTGCACACACGGTAGGGGCTGGAGTTACCTGTGGATGGGCTCACGCCGAGCGCAGGTGAGTCCACGGTGGCCTCAGCTGTTGCTAAAAACAGGACACCAGAGTGCCACCAGCCCTGCTGCCCTGAGCCGTGGATCCCAAGGGATTGCTGGCAGCATGGATTTCAGTGGGACGTGGAGGGGCAGTGCTTCATTGGGCTTTCCTTAGGTATAAATGTTTGCAGAGGACCCTGTTTGCAGGTGCCAGTCAGAGTAGCATCTCTCCCTGTCTATATGAATGCCCAGTAGAGCAATGTATGTGCAAAATCCTGTGCATCGTGTAGTGTCCCGAATTTTCGGGTTTTATTTTAAAAAAATAATAAATTCCGGGAATTTTGAAAGCAGCATGGTGCAGCACCGAGTGAACTGAAAAATGGGTGTAAATCAGTAAAAACTGAATAACTTCAATTTAAAAAAATCAGGTCGTTTATTGTTGAAAATCGGTAAAAACCGAAAATGCAGAACACTATGCGTTTGCCAATCAGATGACTAAGCACATGTTGTGTAAAAGTGTCTCAGTGTGTCAGCTCCATTGATTTCAACTGGAATTAAACACTTTTGAGGATCTGCCACTAGTTACTGTAGCCTCACAGCTCCATACAGGTAGATGCTACCGGAGCCGAGCTGTTATAAGATTTCGAAGTCCTGTCGTTTGCATTTTGTGGATGTAAAAGGCTGTGATTTGTAAGTAAGTGTGACCCTAGTGTTCCTGAATTATTTAAAATTTTAGACTCTTACGGGGTTTGGGACCCAGCCCAGTGCTCGGGAGAAGGTGGTAAATCTCAGGGCTGCACGCTTTACAGTGTTTATAATGGCAAATAACATAAAAGTACAATAAGTTAACCAGGCTTTAGTTAAGGCAATTGAAAAAAATGATGCAAGCATATATATTGCCACTATAAATCTGTGACACTGATCAGACGATATGGACCAATTAGCCTAAGGACTAATTAAATTATGCCTGGAATTGTCAAAAGTGTTGCCGGCATAGCTGGTATTTAGGCATATGACAAGAATCGTCCCCACAATGGACGTGGCTGCGCCAGCTGACCCACCATCCTCCAGGAAATGCAGTTTATGTTAGCAAAAGTGCCCTTTTTTCAATCGAGTCCAAAGCCATTCAGGGATATGATTTAATTGTGCTAATTATGTTCAGTGGAAGCCGTAGGTATCCAGTAGGTGCCGTTGCTGGGATAGCTGTTACAATGAAGGCTTTCTAATGTAGACTACTGCAAGACCGGTTGCTCCTAAAACACTCAGATGCTTTTGAAGACCCCAGCCTGTGCATAATTGTAATTACTTTGATGCTTAATATTCTTATAGTTCATTCATAGCGTGTGCTTGATGCGCCACCGGGTACAAAAGGATCTAAGGGCCTGAACGCTAAATAGGGCCAGGGTGAAATCATGGCCTCGTTGCAATCTGTGTGAATTTTGCCATTGGTGCTAGGCTCAGGATTTCAACTGTAATGAGGTGTCTTTATAGTAGAAAGCAGTGGTGGGGTTTGCTCTTGTTACCAGTGACTAGTATGAACGTATCAGGAAAGACATTTTCCTCATATGGCTCTGCCTCCTCCTTGTCAAACCTTTTCCAGCTAGAAGATAGTAGCAAAAAGGATTGATCTTGCAAAGTTAAGAAAAATTGAACAATGCAAATGTTAAGAAAGTGGCCATGTGCTTACATCTGCTTCTGTGCTGTAATTACAGTGCATCAAGTTTCGTACCTTAAGTTTAGTCACTATTACCAGCTCAGTACAAATTTACCAGGCCTCTGCCCAATAAGATTTTGCACCCTGCTTTGTGTAAATGCCTGAATCCAGAAAAGCGCAGAAAATATTATTTTTGTTGCCAGAATCAGTGCCACATCATTATAAACTCTGTGCTTATTCATGGCTAAATATTATTCAGTTCTGGAAGGAGCATTAACCCCTGTGCCATGAATCACCACTGCATTTTGCCTGCTTAGGGGGGGTGGAAACCACACTCTTTGCTCAAAATGCTTCAGATGTAGACTACACCAGACATGGGATCACAGTATAAAGTGGAGGACAGGGATCTGCCTCTCAGGTCAGGAAATTAGTAGATCTAGGCAGCTGGATAGCAGAGCTTTTCCTTGGTGCTCTCCTCTGGCCTTCTGCGCCCAGGCAGTGGAGTCACAGCCACTAGCTCCGGCCAAAGGAGGACCAGGAATTAAAGAGCTCGTGCAACATGATTCATTAGCACAGGTTGTTGGCACCAGCAGTTGACTATGAGACCTCTGCATTTTAAAAGTACTGACCCCTATGCTTGAGCTGGGTCTGTTAGCCATGACTGTTCAAGGTTCATCAAACCTTTTCTTGCGGCCAAGCCACCACTCAGAGTGGACCACGAACCTCCCCATATAGGATCCATCCAGAACTGAATTGTTTTCAACCCAGGGCCTTCTGCATGTTATCTTAATGGGGCTCTGCCCGCATGGTCCCATCTGCTGGTGGACCTCAAGGAGCATTAGCAGGAAAGAAGACTACTTGAGGGTGTATTTGAAATGACGTGGGTGGCTTCAGCAGAGTTGCTTTTCTCCTTCACCATTTCTTCAAAGTTTTACCCCCCTGCCCTCAGTGCCAGGGGTAGGGAGGAAAGGGGCTGTGGTATATTTCTGGGCGTACTTCCATGAGGGTGATGTCTGATTTCCTTGCTGCATAATATTATGCTTCTGTCATTAGATAAGTCAGTGTTCTGATAAGTGTGCTTGCTTAACCAGGATTCCCCTAGCTCGCTGGATGCACACTTATCTTTCTTAAGTAAATACGCCATCCCAATCCTGTTTAAATAAAAGCTGTAAATGCCAGTTTTGTAATCTCAGATTAATACTTCACCATTGAAGAGGAACATGCGAGGACTGTGGAGTGGCAGAGTGACCCCTGACACGCCATGGGTATTTGAAAAATAATTCTGTATAAACCAGTCTAGGCAGTGAATTTGATCGTTTCTGTACTAGCCTGTGCTGGAGGATATGGAGGGGAAAGGGGGAGCTCTCATACAAGTATCCAGGTGGGAGATCTCCCCTGGAGGAGGTAGGTCCATCTTGCCTCCATTGGCTCAGACTACATTGTCCATGGCAGCAGATGCTTGATGGCTTCTGGGAGCTTGTGCAGTCTGCTTCCAGGGAAATAGTCTAGACATCATGAGAAGTTATATGGGGTGAGAGAGAATCCTAGGAGCTGTGATGTTTAAGAGTTTCCATCTTTGAAACTGGCTTCGGGCAAGGATTTTAGCCAGGTTCATCCATGCTTCTGAAGCTATAGGGCGAGTTTTCTTTGGGTCTCCCTTTGAAGACACTTGCCGATCAAACCTCTTACACAGTGTGATGGCAGGACTTCTCCGGGACCTTTGCACAATGAAGTCACATCTGGAAACTGCAGTGGCTGCCACTGCATTTATATATGGGCTTCATTTGCCCACTGTAGATATTATCAACCACAGCCTTAGGGAGGAGATGCGCAGCTCCAGAGTAGTTAAAATTATTTTTACAGTACTGTTAAAAGGGGAACCAAGATGGACAATAGAGCAAAGAAATCTGAGGTGGGAGAGGAGGGAAAGGAAACCTCTAAGATCACAAGCTCCCATCAGCTCAGACATGCACACGGCCCATGTTCCTGTGATAACATTTTTGCCCGTCAGGAAAAGAAGTAGAAAGGAGAAGTGTCAGGAAACAAAGGGCCTTGCTACACCTTCCGTGTGAGCTGCACAAATGTTGGTCAGTGTTAGTGCTAGCTTGGAGTTTGGAGCAGTCGCACCCATAGTCTAGACACCTTCTCTGCCTGTCCCCCACCTGCACAGCTGTGACTTGCCACTGGAGGCCTGGGGAGCAGGGGCAGGACTAGGAGTTGGAGCTGTGAGTTGCCACAGCGGGGTGGATGAACCCGGACAGTCTTCTATCCCTGCTCTACGGGCCGGGGCATGAGAGATCCTGGCATCCTTGAAGACTTCAACTTGGGCGGCACATTTGTGGGGGGTGGCCACACCTTTAATGGACCGGGAGCTGGGTAATGGGGATCAGAGATAATCCTGTCCTGGAGTGGCTTAACTATGAGCTGCATAGTGAGTGCTTAAAACCACGGGTGTTAATCCAGGGGTTAAGAGCTCCAGGAGCCACCCATGTTTACCATGTAACAAGGCCCAAAGCTGCCAGTCAGATTCCCCAAGTTAGAAGGAGGGAGAGAAAACACATCCTTTCCAAACGTGCATCTCTGCCCATTTCAGTTTCCAGCCACGCTAGTGTTGGCTGCCAGTTTACTTGGAAATCCTCTCGCACATGACTTCACAGGGGCCCCTCCTCTGAGTAGGCACTTGCAAGGTCAGGCCCCATCACTGCATGAGGCATCCGCAATTTCTATACCTATTGTGACCCGTTTTATTACCCGTGTTAACAGTAGTCTCGATGAGGCTCAGTTTGGATCAGGGGCCCCTTCGTACAAACACAGAACATAAAGGCACCTCTGCCCCTGGAGAGCTTTAGAGTTCGAATCCGAGACAAAAGATAACAGGTGAACACAGAAAGATGGAGGAGTCCAAAGCAAGGATTAGACAAATGCAGTCATCAGGATATTTTGTATTAAGATTTTGTACTTGATCCCAGGTAATGGTGTATCTGGATACGCGTGGGACTGCGTTTCTGTCCCAGCATGGAGGTGATCCAGTCGGCCCCTTCGGAGTTTGCTGGTGCTGAAAGACCATTTAAGAAAGTCCCTGCTATCCTTTTGGACAGCCTCGTAGAGGAGCCTAGAAAACCAAATGTTGTCCCCAACCACCTGCTGGAATCTAGTGAGTACCTGGTCCTACCTGCTCTCCAACCACCTTCTGGTCTGGAAGCAAACCTCATGCCCACCAGGCACTTTTACCAGTACATTTTCAGAGACCCAGTCTTCCTTTTTCTTCGTGTGCCTGCATCACAGCCTGACTGTGCCGGTAACTCCCTCTTACACAGGCCGCGCTGCTCTGGGGATGAACGGCAGGACTGTGCAATTGTGGCCTCACTGCTTCTGCTTCAGGAGGCAGCCTGGGCAGAGCCGTGGAGCATGCACGAGGATGCTGCTGCCTTTGAAAGGCATGCCTTTTTGGGGTTTAGCAGCTCTCCCTTCCCAGCGCTGACTGTAGAGACTGTGGCCAGAGGCACATGGGCACACGCTGCTGATCCTCAGCTCTCAGAGCCAGGGGCAACCAGATGCAGTGTAGTATAGTGCCAGGGGATGTGTTTGCACTTTACCTTCCCACTTTGGTCCTGCACCAACCACAGCTTGGCTGACGGGAGCAGCTCTGTATCTTTCTGTATGCTGCAGTATCTCCTGCAGGCTTTAAGACAGGGGTGGGCAATTATATTAGGTGGAGGGCCGCTTACTGAGTTTTGGCAAGCCATCAAGGGCCGCATGACAGGCAGCCAGGGGAGGATATATATTAATTTTCACATTTTTTAGGGGCCCTGCGGGCCAGATAGAATGACCTGGTGGGCCGCATCCAGCCCACAGGCTGCATTTTGCCCACCCCTGCTTTAAGAGTTACAGGGACAAGGACCTGCAGTCCCCAGGCTCCAAAGCAGAATGGAGGGGTTTGGTTTTTCCCAGGTTTCTGGGCTCTGCTGGTTGCCACGTGGGGTCAGGAAGGACTTTTTCCCCTCCTGTTGCTACAGGAGCTTCCTCAGATGCCTCAGGTGATGGCTACAGCCAAGGCTGGGGATTTTGGGGCGTGCTGTTGCCCACTGGGACTAAAAAGCCCAGAGGTTCCTGGTTAGAGGGCCTTGCTCCCCTGCTAAGGTCAGGCCAATTACCACATTTGGTAGCAGGAAGGTGAGACTGTCATGGTGTGTGCCTGGGGGTTTCCTTTCCTCTCTAGTGGGGGCATGGTCATCTTCCTTTGCTCTCTTGAGTAGATTTGAACCATCACTTGCTGTCCTTGCAGCAGCAGGGTATTGGCGGTGCCCTTGTCCCCCTGCTTTAACTGCAGTAAGTTGAGGTGTTCCTGCAGTTTTGGGCACTGCCTGGCATTTGTGTGACAGTTGTTGAGCGACAGGGACTGGAGCACTCTTGTAGTTTTAAGGGTAATTTTTGTGGTTTTAAGAATAAGTTAATGGGGCCAGCCATTTTGGCAGGTGTGCCACAAATAGATCCACACCCTCCCCGAGTGCCACTCCAGTCTCCTTTCCCTGTCCTGTTCTCTGTTTTTTGCTTCCTGCCCTATGTATGCTCCTTGCCAGATCTGCTGCTCTGCTTTCTGCTTCCTGTCCTATCTACTGTGGTGCTGCCTGTCCCTTCCCTGGTCTTCTGCATGCCACACACACAGCCTGGCTGTGCTACTTGTGTATAGGATGGTGTAGATAGGGGTGATTTTTTTCTTGAGCAGGGGGTTGGTTTAGATGCCCTCCTGGGGTCCCTTCCAGCCTTATTTTTCTATGATGCTGTAGAATGACTGCTAAATCCATCCATCCAGCCCAGTCTTCTCATATACTTTGTCATCTTCCTTTGCAGAGATTTATACAAAACTTCTACAAAACAAGGTCATACAGGCTGAGCCGGCTGTACTGCATTATGGGGGGTATGAAATCAACAGGCATCACCAGCAGACTCTGGTAGGTTTTTAAGCAGGGATTATCTAACACACTGTAAAGGGGAAGCACGTGTATTCACTGACCTAAAGAGCCTTTTCCTCCCTCGCATGTCCTTCTGCCCTGTTGTGTCCTTTACCACAGCATTTCTCAACCTGTGGGTCGTAGCCCAAAAGTGGGTTGCAAGAATATATGAAAGGTTCATGAAGAAACTTAAAAAATGGATTTAAAAAGAAAAACAGGGGAAACAGTGTCTTTTCTTTTGCAGACTGGCAGAGTTCCAGCTTGTAGGGGGCTTCTTGGGGCCTGCCGTGCCCCACACGCACCCCACTGTGCCCCACATACCCACCCGCTGCCCCACACACTGGGGCCTGGAGGTGGGGTGCAGTGGGTCAGGAATAAAGGGCACTGGGTCAGGACTGGCCATCAATGTTTACAAATGGGTCCTGGTACAAAACAGGTTGAGAACCACTGCTTTAACACCTTGCTGTAAAGCAGGAGTCGATGAAGTGATGAATAATTGTCAACATCTAACTAGACTAACTCAAATAGCTGGAGAAATTCTTCTTTGCAAGCTTTTGGGCAAAAGCATGCTAAGAAGAAGTTTTCCAACTATTTGAGTTGGTCTAAAAAAAGATATCAGATTTACACAAAGAACCTGGTCTGCCCATGTCCTTAGACCAACACGGCTACAACCTACACTCGTGAAACACCTTCCTAGATTGCTTGGAGCCTTCTTGACTGTGCTCGTACTCATTCATTAGTGGGAACCATGGAAGTGCCCTTTGTCCTCTGCCACTGTGATTGGGTTTGTGCTGTAGGGCAACCAGTTGCCAGCTGCATGGCCCTGGGCAAGTTTCTCTCTGGTTTCCCGTGCACCCATCTGGTTTCTTTAGATTTTCAGCTCTGTGGGCTGAGACTGTCTCATACCACGTGACTTGGAGTGCATCACTCCCGGCTCACTTGGGTTCTGACACACTAAGCAATATGATGACTGCCAAGGTGTCCGCTGAGCTCTTGCCATTGCTTAATGCTGCTGGCCTGAGGTGCGTTCATGCTCTGTTTAACTTCAAGGACTCAAGCTGCCACCTCCCTATGCTTCTTTCCTTGGGGAAGTCATTTCTCTTGCAACAGCTGTTGATGTTGCTCAGAATTAGGAAGAAGAGGATGTTACTTACTCTGAGGTTTTTAAATTTTCCAAGGGGAACGGTGCCTGCTGAGTTTACTGACAAAACTATCACTGTCCAAAGCTTATTTTCTAGATGAGCAGAAAACCAAACACCAAAAAATAAAGACATTTAATTTCTTTTTGCTGTGAGGCATCTGTAAAAATCATTATAAGCGGTGGATTTCAGGTTTTGGCTCCTTAAATATTTAATGAGAAACCCTTTAATGCTAGAAGCTGGTAGCATCTTACTTTCAAGGGCTACCACTGACTTCAGTGTGGTATTATTTGTGGAATAAGAAGAAGATGCCAGGATTAGCTTCCCTATGATTAGGAGAGTCTGACTGCAAAACTTAAAAGACTTAGCAATATTTTTTTTTTTAAAGTAACATCTTTTTTGGTTGCATTTTAAAATTCTGAACACGTTCAGCATTTTCTTTATCGAAGAACAAACCATTATTTCACTGTTAAATAGAGTTTCTTTGTTAGGCACAGACTCACAAAAATGTAGCTTTGCAGTTCTCCCAAATGTTCTCCTAAAATAACTTTTTCTTTTGTTCTGCAGAAGCTGGTAAATATTTCTGGTGATGTAATAAACCTTCACATTATACCACCCCAGACAAAGTACTTTCACATCAAATACAGCAAAACTGTAAGTGGCACAAGTAGCTATCAGACTGTTCATTGCACTCCATCGTTGTGTTCCACACACACAAACCCTGAGTTCAGTGCACACAACCAGTATTAAAATGCCTCCCACTTTATTGTTTCTGTGTCATTTTATAGCATCGGCTTGTCCCTGGCTTGTCCTTTGCAGTCACAGTTGACTTTTGTCCTGATGAGTGGCGCTATTATTATGACTGTGTCCGAATTCACTGTCAGGTAAGAAGGATCTAAGATAAAGGCCAAATCATTTTGGCTGTTATGAAATAAAACTACCTTCACAGCAAGGTGATAACCATAGATATCTATATTGCTCCACAGTCCTCTCTGGTGTATCATTAGCCTCTCTTTCATTCTGTTCAGTAGAGGCCACCTTCCTTTGTGCCCTGCTATCTATCAGAATAAAATTCACAGCAGAAAAACAGTAAAGTAATGTCAAGGGTCTGGCACAAAGCTATGAAAGAACCCAGGCCACTTGGATATAGATGTCTAAATATGGATAAATGTGCCTACCTTTAGACACCCAGAAACTTAAACCTGCGATTATGCATGGGCTGTGGAGACCACAAATCCAAAACTAGAGTAAGCAGACCATCAGTTTGGATCTCCCACATGTCGGGCTGCTGCAACTGGTACAGAGTCTCACAGACAATATAGTTGGAATTCATCAGCTGAGCAGAAATGTAGGAGCTTCAGAGCAGAGAAAATCACAGAGGTTTTAAGGGGAAGCAGCATGTTCACACTCTTTGCCTATGGAATGGAGGTCTTGGAGAAGTTTTACATGACCCCGTAAGGGCTAACTCCTACACCGGAGTCACATAACCCCCAGTTGCTGAAGTGTGGCTCTATGGAAGCTATCGTGTTAAAACCCTTTTTTATATAGAATATGTATTTATTTTAATAGGTTAATAATTTCTCCACTGTTTTCCAGGGAGATGACACTTTACTTGTTCCCATACACGCCTACCCTGCTGTGAATGTTGTAGAATTCCCCTCCTACATAAGCTTTTCTGATGTGCCACTTGGTCAGAGGTGAGTCAAGGCAACCCTCATTAACACTTTCCCAGGCCATGAGAAAAGTTAAATAATAGCTGTCTGTTACACAAAATCCTCAAAGCTTTCACCTGTGCAGTAGCGTTCCAGGTGTATATTCGTAGAAGATTGAATCATGCATAAATTAAGGATTCTGTCAGAACATAGAGCTGGAGCCAGAGCTGGTGTAAATTGGCACGGATCCAGTTCACTGATCAGTGGGATCAGCGCTATTATTGACCAACTGAGAATTTGACTCTTAATCTTTCTTTAGGAGTGAAATTCAACAAGGCGAGTCAGCAGAAGGTTTACGTACCATTTGGGAGCCTTTTTGAGAATTTAGAATTCAGCCTATTGTCCTGTCTGTGCATTGGTTTTGTACCCATATAACTAGTTCAAGTAGGGGAGGGATATTTGTAACTGAATTTTTTTCTAGCCCATATCCTCCCATAGCTACAATGATACCAGTATGAAGGTGCCATGTATTCTCTCTTGTGCTGTAATGGCAAGAGCGCTCTTGTACCAGTATCACTGGGTCTCCCCCTTGGGCAGTGAACCTATTTAAACTATACCAGTACAGTAGAGCAGTACAACTCTCTAGCGAGGACGAGGCCTACATGAATAGAGCATTGCTGTTTTGGTACAAAGGTGAAGGTGCAAACTTGTTTCTAGAATTCATGTGACGAGACACATCTATTGGTGAGAGCAAATGCATAAATGCATCATGGGGGTCCAGTCAGTCACTGGATTTTCTGCTGCTGTTTGTAGATACTGACTTCTAAACATCTGAGGTCACAAATAACACACAGGATCCACAGTTAGACATAGGCCAGTGGGCCAGGGTCAAAACCCATTGAAGTTAATAGAAAAGATTCTCATTGCCTTTAGTGGGCTTTGAACTAAGCCCCGTATTCTGCTGTGCTCTTCTCTGCACCAGTAAATGCAGCTGCAAAGGCAGCAGATGGTATAATTGCCTTGTTCCTAAAAGGTGCTTTGGCTTCAATACAGCACAATACTGGGTGCTGAGAGACTTGCAGGTCCCTGCTCTAACTCAAGGTGCTGTGCATAAAGCGCCATGAGTTTGAGCAACTCCCCACCCCCATCCCAACAATGTTCACCTGTTGTGGGGAGGGGGATCAAGTCTGCCTGCCTGTCCTGTGATCAGGGCTAGGCTGATGTAGCCCCCTCCCCACCTATGTCTGATGCTGTCTGCAGGAAGAGAGAGGGGAGGGGAAGCATGCTGTGGGTTGGGGTTTGCCCAGCCTGAACTGAAGGAGGGAGGCAGAGGGGGCTACAAGGTGGGGGGACTCCAACCCACCTGCCTTCCAGCTCAGGCTGCAGCTCCCCCTCCGCCTCTTCCATCCCCCTGCCTTCCTGCAGATAGCACCATGGGCAGGACTTGACTGTATCAGCCCAGCCCCAATCACACTGACAGATTGAGCCTAGGGAACACAAGTTCCCTAAGGTGCTGTACCTTGGAGTGCCTTCATCTGATCCCTCATTAGATGAAGATTAATTTGTCACGCGATAGGCCACTTTGAAAGCACTCTGCAGCTGTCATGGCACGGCTGTAGAGCGCTTTCAGGGGGCCAGTCATACAACAAATATAACTTCTGTGTGTGCCCACATTGATCAGACTTTTAAGATAAATTACTGCTTTCTTTTCTCCTCTCCTCCTAGAACAGGTCACACATAAGACAGAAGCTAAATTTTAACATCCAGGGAAAAGGAACGCACAATTGTTGTTTATTTCCTTAACCTTTTCAAAGTAAGCTGCCCCAGGCATGTTGTGTATAAAACGCATTCCTCGCTAATCAGCATGGCCCAATTTCAGTCAAACAGTTTATAAAACACAGGCATAATCCTGTGCAAAATAGGTTTGTAGCATGATGTACAACGTTTCACCAGGCTGTTGTTTCCACTTGGGTACATGAAATTAGATGCAGGCAAAAGCAGGGAGAACTTTGGCAAGACTGGAATCATTCCTCATTTACACTGAGCCTCACTTATATTGCGATTAAAGGGCCCTAGTGCCAACGAGAATCAGACCCTTGAAGTATAATTGTTGTAGGGGAAGAGATGCCAGTATTTTGAAGTGCTGGGGCACTCAGGTTGGGCTGGAAGGGTATTGTATGGCACCTCTTTAGGACATGTGCAGAACTTCAGATGACTTAAATGCTGGTAGAACTAGGTCTTAGGTTACAGGGAGCATGTCTACACAAGCCACTAAAAGCACAGGTGACTAATTCTACTGTGCATTAGCACATCACAGCGAAAGACATGCTAATGCGCTAATGTGCAGTAGAATTAGTCTACTGCGCAGTAGTGTCACTTAAAAGATGCTGATTACAGTGCGTTGTTAGTACCTGTTACTACAGGTACTAACTTAATGTGCCGTAATTATGGCGCATGAATACACATATAGACATGCCCTGCATCAGTGATCCATGAGAGTCAAATAACATATTTGCATCCATTAGCTAAAGCTTTTAAAGATACATGAACCAAATTGGCCTCTATATTTAAATTAGATTTTTACAAAATCTTCTTAAATGTATTAACATGTTCCAATAGAAAAAATGTTTTTAAAATAGTCTAATGCCACTTCAGCATTTTCAGCTCCCACTGTAGCATTGGGCTGAGGCCTAATAAACAAGAAGCAAAAGTGAAATGGGAGAGAGGTTGATTACCCACTATCTCTGCTGCGAAAAAACATTGTAAACATTGAAAAGCAAATTGGATTTTAATTTTAATTTAAGGGTCAAGGTGTTACTTGGGAAAGGATAATGGCTTGTTTTCTAGCTCTGATTTTTAACTTTAAAGAAAATGAATGAAAAACTTGAACCGGCCAGGAGTGTTCCAGTTGTTAGTAACCATCCAAAACATGGAAAAGAAGGGAAAAAGGACTACTCCTCTGATCATTTTTGGTCTCCAAATTATGCAAAAAACAGAGTATTGTATAGTTTTGAACTGAACCCTATTCTTATTCTGCAGAGGGAACAAGGAAGGCCTCCTCTCCAACATGTGGACTCTAACCTGATTTTCCATTTTCAGCCTTTGCTTTAACAAGTGACTTGTTCTCTTGTAACATGTTGCAGCCAATATATTTTGGCTGCTCTGTGATTATTCCCAGTAATACATTTCCAGCAGGTCCTTGGTGAGAAGTAGGTCATAGGTGTGACAGCGCTACCTGATTTCTTTTGCTTTCTGCAGCTGCTGTTACAGTTCAGGGGTTACTGTAGGTCACTGGTGCTCAACTTGATCACTTTGAGGGCTGCATCCTATGGCCAGGGTCAGTCTATGGCATGGATCTGGTGTGGGGTCAGCGTGCAGGGATGGACTGTGAGTATAACTCAGTGTTGTTGTGCCAGTCTGACCCTGTGAGCTGGATATGGCTGCATCCTGACCCTGCGGGCCAGAAAACGCTTAGTGATGACCAGTTCTTTTCTGTGCAGGTTCTTATCTGCCCTCTGCACTGTGTTATGTAATATGTCTAACACCTCACATGTGGTTCATTTTCCTTTTCATCCTCTCTCCCCACTGTGGGCCTCGAACTAGGGGTAATTTCAATTTCTGAAACTCTTGTAACTCTAAATTGTGTTGTACAGTTTTTACCAGCTAGTGAATACAAATACTCATGTAAAGACACAGAAGAAATTCAGTTCTTAAAAAAATAAATTCTATATATGTAAGTATATGTAAATGAAGCTGTTTTTGAGCAACCCAGTGAGATTTCTCATTCATCTTCTAGCTGGAACAAATTTTTAAATGACTTTTTTCTTTCTAGCTATGAAAAGTTGCTGCTTTCTTTTTCTAAGTGATCCATCTCTATGATGTTTGTAACTGTTAGAGCATGCCCAGTATGGAGAAAACAGCATCGTTTTCCAGATGTGAGCATGCAATCATTCATGGTTATCTACTGGGATGATTATTAATTTTTCCTTTGTGTTTCTTGCTTTCCTGTTTTGCAGCAAGGAGTATGCGATTCCCTTGCAGTGCAGCTGTCCAATAGATTTTGAATTCCACATTGATTACATTCATCCTCACAAAGCATTTGCTGTTCAGCCGACATCAGGTCAATCACATCTCTTTAAGATTGGAGTTGAAATGATTATGTATTAAGTTCTGTTATTTATGACTCTGTGCACGGTGACGTACAGAAATACAGAGCATAAGATCTGCCCCTGAGAGTTTGCAGTTAAGCCCACAACATCGAAACATAGCCTCATATATATGACAAGAGAAATAAATAACAAACATCAAATGAAGGCCGAACAACTCCATAGCCAGTAAAGTTCTTTCCTCTGTGGAATAAATCCTCAGTTCTTTAGCAGTGATGTTGAACTATATATGATTTGGAGTATAGCATTTTATTAGCATAACAACAGTAGTAATAATACCATTATTATAGATTATACATAAATCTCCTCCTCCTCCTTCTTAGGGCTGAAACTCTGCCATGGAATGGCAACCACTTCAGGACCTCTTTATACTGCCACCCTGGTATAAAATTCCCATAAGCATAACTAGGGATCAGGCCTGATAGGTTTTACAGATACTGGGAGACATTCCACTTCATCGGTCACCTAGCTGCATGGCTCTCCATTTGCAGAAGGGATTTCCCACTGTGAATCAGACCCGCATGCTGTGGGCTCATTGACTTGTGTACAGTGAGCCTGCTCCAAGGCAGACTTCTAATTAGAACAATTAGAGTTAAGGCAACCCTCATTAACACTTTCCCAGGCCGTGAGAAAAGTTAAATAATAGCCGTCTGTTACACAAAATCCTAGAAGCTTTCACCTGTGCAGTAGCGGTCCAGGTGTATGTTCACAGAAAATTGAATCATGCATAAATTAAAAATTCTGTAGGAACTCCGAGCTGGAACCGCAGCCGGTGTAAATTGGCACGGATCCAGTTCACCGATCAGCGGGATCAGCGCTGCTATTGACCAACCGAGAATTTGACTCTTAATCGTTCTTTAAGAGTGAAATTCAACAAGGCGAGTCTGACTTCTAATTAGAACAAGTCAGAGCAGGCATCAGGCACAAGTACAAGTGTCCTAAAATATGCAAATAGGGATATAATGTGGATGTAGACCAGGCACTTAACTCCCACTGAAAGTCAGAGGAGTTAGCTGTCTGTTCGGATTTACAAGTTTTAGGCAGCTAAAAACCTTTATACATTTGGTCCCTAGTGCCTCAGTCCCTTTGACGATGGGACGTAGCCTCTCAAGGATACAGCCGCACGACGAAGTCACTGCTAGGTAAGGTAGGATGTGAGGTTGCGACCCATTGACGACTTCACAGTAACTGCTTCTGTGCATGCTTTTGCCCTGCTGTAAGCATGGGGTGGTTGACTCCTCCATGAACGGTGGAGCAAGTAGCTTCCCACTTACTGAGCAGTAAAACTACGCACGAGCAGTTATTGTGGAGCAATCAATGACCTGGACATTCGCACCCCAGTTTACCTTGCGGTAAGTTGCTTGTGTAGCTGTATTGTCAGTTAGATCAATTCTTTGGGAATCTCACGTGGAATAAAATGATGTGACTGGCTGGTCTCTTCTTAAATTTTATATATACATGCACTACACTAAATGGAAGATATGGGAAGGAGACACATACCTCTCAGCTCTTTCATGTTAGACCATCTGAATTTTAGTCTATTGGCTTAGCACGTTTTCAGTTACACACACAGGAAAGTTAGAGATCTTTGCCTCCAAATTATCTGGTTGATGCTCCAGCAGCAGAGTAGCCTTTTCTTTATGCAGTTATCCATTAGTCCGTTACTTTGTTTCCCAGTACAGGAAAGCATCATGCCACAAATGGGGATTCATAGTCTAACAGATGGTCTGGATTCATTCCCAGCAGTGATATGTAGAATAAAATCCAGCGTAATTGAACTAGGGCTGGTCCTAAAATTAGATCCAAAATATTATTTGCAATAGGAAGCAACAAAGTTTTGTTCTCCCAAACCCAGTGGGAAAAGCGCTAGCGTCCTCAGCTGTTTTGTCATTGCAGATGGAAATAAATGATTGTAGGATTAGGAGCTATAATGAGTTTAGGCAGAGAAAGCAACTGGAAATCAAATGTGCTTGTCATCAGTTTAGGTTTCATCGTAAGAAATCATACAGACAACACGTTGCAAATTGGTAGCCCTCAGGTTAAGTTGTACCTCTATACACCTAATTTGCCCAGTTATCACTTTAACATTATCACTTTCTTTCAGTAGAAAATTAGGTCACTTTATAACACTCTTTATGGAGCCAGGCTAGCTGACATGTTGTTAATGTGCCTGATTATATCACATGCATATTTATGGTGTCTACTGGATGTGCTTAATCTAAGGTTTCCAGTAGGGTTTACCCATAACCAATTGACAGTGTTATGCATGAAGGTTCCTCCCTGCACTGGCTGCTAAACCATGCTTAACATTTTGATTATGAATCCTCAGGTCATGGTCTAACATCACCTTCTTTTCCAGTTGAGACAAGCCCTCCATAAGTTTAACAAAATCAGGTCTTTGTTTTTTGCATGTTTGGTCTTAACTTACAACTTGAGCAGGTTTTCATTCTTCAGGTGAAGCTAATGTTGGCGCTATAGCAAATATATGGCCGACAGAGGACAGCATACTCTTCTACCTTCTTTTGGGTTATCCTTTTAAAATGCTTTCTTGAATTATTGACAACTGCTTGTAGGAAGTACAATAGCACATCAAAGGCAGAACAGAAAGTTATAGGTGGGCTGAAACAGGGTTGGATTGGGGTTAAATTTTCCCAAACCTCCTTGCATGGATTTTGGATTTGCAAATTTGCATTCAGAATGGTTCCTGTTTTATCCAGCTGAATTCATTTGAATGGGCCTAGCTTGATGGAGAAAGTTAAACCTAAATGGAAACATTTAAGGTGCTGAGTGCCTCCAACTCCTACTATAGTCACTGCTCCCTAGAGCATCAACAGCAATAAAAATAGCATAGGAAAGGAAGCTAAATGTTCTTAAAAAATATAGGAGACAGGAAACGAGGCAGAGGTTACTTTAAAGAGTAGGAAATGAATGTCATGGGAGGTTAATGTATCTGTTGAGCTGAGTAAATTCCTTGTCTCAGGAATGATGAGAGCAGCTAGAGCCTCTGACAAAAGGTTGTGCAAAGTGTTCCTGGTTGTAAAATAGCGCTTAAAAGTTTCTACCGAACACTGGACCAGAGAGCGAGGAAATTTAGAAGCATTAGAAGAAACCCAGAGAAATCCCCAGACTTGCGAAAGGAATAAAAAACCTATTTATAATACCTTGCTTAAGACAGTGGGATGTGCCAGAGGACTTGAGGGTAGCAGATGTGAGTAAAAGCTTTTAAACATAAATAGTCTTTGTCACGCTCACAGTAGCAGCAAACTGTGCGGTGCAAGTAATGGTTCATCTCTTTACCATTTGAAGCTGTTGCCAGTCATGGGGGAGCGGGAGTTCTGGCAATAGATATGTGATCTGTTTGGGCTGAAATATGTTCCAGCCCTTCTGCCACCAAAACTACCAGCGATATATTATTTTTAAAATGTGCTTAGCAAATAAAGTCCCATTTCTGTGTTAATTCAGTATGGTTCTCTTTTCCCTGTTATAGGAATAATTCCAGCCAATGGGAAAATGGAAGTTGTCATAACATATTCACCACTTGAGTATGGAACAGCCCAAATGAAAATGCAGTTATGGATTTCACAATTTAACTCTAAGCCGTACACATGTGTATTCACAGGAACATCAACACCCTTTCTGGGCTTACGGTATATGTGCTTGATCTAGTTTTGTATATTTTTGCCCATTTCTGGTTTTGAAAAAGCCCTTTATAATATAGATTTTCATACTGTTTTGCATAAAAGTGGCACCATGCTCTGTTTTAGCACTTACGCCAATACCCCTAGTCTGCTTCAAACACAAGACTGCAACAAGGAAAATCATAAGCCCTTAAAATAAGTTTCCTGGCTTTGTAAGTCAGCTCTGGTCCCTTTTTCGGCTCTTCTCAGCCTCCTTCAAGAAGTATATGCTCTGCAAGGGTCCAATTTGCAGGGTTCTTAATATCCCCTAAGAAGTGCTGAGCACCAATGCCTGTTATATCTATCAACCCTCTTCAACTCTCATTGCTCAATACTCACAAGATCAGGGTCTTTAGGGTTAATAAACTTTCTGAGATTATTGCTTATGCTCCTTTGGGAATAGGGAAGGAGCAAAATTAGGAAATTATACTTGATCTGTAATTTGGGAGAGACCATTACACTATTCCTATACACCTAAAAAGCATACAAAGACAAATGGAGGCTCTTCATTCATTATCAGGATGCTAGTTTAAAGTAGCACATGCTCTTCTGAAACCCAGGAAAGAAGAATTTCAAAAGCAGAAAAGTGCCTCAGAGAAGAAACCAGGTTCAGCTGGGAAACCAGTGGTGCAGAAAAAAGACCAGTTAAAGCACCCACGACCCAGCGCTTCCCAGAAAGTAAAGGTACAAAGAGCTGGGAACCAGAAGCTCCTGTCAGGGGATGAGACTACCCCTTGTTCTTTATCAAACACATGATTGATTTCTTCCCATTCATTTTTATCCCATAGGAGATTGAATACCAAAACCTGAGATTCCCGACAGATCTATCAAATCCCCATGCTGTAGCAACTGTTTTGATTCAGGAACCTGGCAAATTAAAGATTAAAGACTTGAAGGAAGGTAACATAATGATACAATGCATGATAAAATAAACCAGAATGACTTTCTTGTGCTGTTGGATTTCTAACAGATATCCATATGGGGATCTTGGTCTTAAAACTGATGGGAAGTTATGGCCCTGATTTCTGAAGAAAGTGTCACCTTAGCTGTACTTTTTATATATGAGCTCAGTTATCACAGTAGATAGTTTTCCTCGTAAAAAATTGATCTTCATTTTGCAAAGATGTCTAGTTTGAGATCTCATATAATAACTCCTTGGTCTCGTCTATAGTTCTATGCCAAGGTAACGAAGGAATAAAAACAAGACAGATGAAGGAAGCAGTGTTTGCACAGAAGGTCAAACAAGACATTCAGGCAGAGGAATCAAATCAACTTAAATGGTGAGTGTTAATTAGTCAGCTTTATTACCAATGGTAACGTTTATTTAAATATGACAAAACAAGCATTGTTAGTTCAGAGTTCTTTCTGCTGTTTCATGTCCAGTAGGTGAATTTTAAAACCGAATTTTCTTGTTTTCCTCACATTCTTTTTTCCTTCTGTCTGAGAGGGATCTGATTAGTAATCTGTAGTGGGAAATAAGCTCTTGGATTTTCTTTACAGTCATTCAGCAGAAAGCTCCTGGAAACTTTGTTCCAGATTCTACTTTTCCAGGTCTCGATCCTGTATTGTTCGCATCAGTGGGAGCTTTCTTATTGAGCTGAAGGAGCCCAGAGTCAGGCCCACACTGAAATAGCTCAAATCAATGTGAATAAAAAAAGTGTAAGGCCTCCATCAAGGAAAGCAAGTAATCATATCTTCCACTTTGAGCCATGAATTGTCCCATCTAAGTCAAAGAAACATCTCCCATGCTTAAAGTTAAGCACCTGCTTTAGTAATGGCAGGAGAACTTAGGTCTGTTATTCTTTAAGTGGAACAAGCTGAACATTGGATAAAGGTTTTTCTCCTCCCTACTGTAAATTAGGCAAGTTCATAAAGGCAAAGATCCAGTTTCTCTGAAATGGAAAAGAGAGATTATTGAAGAGCGACAAAGAGCGGAAGAACAATATAAGGTTAGTCTTCATTGTTTATGCAGTGGTTTAAAAATCCACCTTACAGTTTGGACTACATAAAACCAGCTAAAGAACGAAGAGCCTGTTTTTGATTGCTGCTAGCTCTTTAAGTAGGTCGATGCAAACCTGCCTAAGCTGTGCAAATTTCCCATATCTATTAAGCTGTTATTATTTCTGTGTAGTAGTCTATAGAGTTTTCTGCAAACAAATGAATGAAAGACATGGCTGCTGTCCTAAATAGCTTACAGTCTAAGGGTCAAACCCAATAAACACTCTCACACATGAGTATATCGTCTCGATATGAGTAGTCCTGCTGGCTTCAGTGGGACTATGCTTGTGATTGAAAGTAATCAACATATATGTATTTGCAGTGTCAGGACATACCTTCCAACATCACTATGTAAATTAAGATAGACAAAGGAAGAATAAAAAGTTGGAAGAGGTGTAAAACCATGAGAAATTATGTTGCTTAATTAGCTATGTGCTTATCCTGCTGGCCTCACTTCTTTTGATGCATATTTGTTCACTCTCTGGCTGGTGATCTAGATTCTGCTAGATTCCAAATGTGCTTCGCCATTTGATCTGGCAATCAGAAACAAGATTAGTTCCCACTTCTTTTTGTCAGGGGCATATTTTTCCATTGCTCTAAAGTCTTGCTCAGTTGTCTCCTTCGATCCTCTCCATGGTGGACCAGAAGTTCAAACTACATACAAATGACGGTCCACAAGACCCGTTAAGACATGGGCACATGAACAAGGTACTGCCAGGAGACTGAAGGCAGACATTTGCAGCATGTCAGCTACTCTGCGGTAATTGCCTATGTCTGCTCTTACTCTGTGGGAAATGAAAGCTAAGACACACTGGCTTAATGGAAGAAAGACACGTTAGTATGGGTTAACTTCATTTCCCACAAGATAAAAGCATGCACATAAACAGTCACCACAAAACAACTGATGGGCTGCAAAGCCCCATATCCTTATGCCTCATGGTAAGTTGTTTGCACGCCTATACTCTCAGCTGGTTTGTGTTTCATCATCCTGACCACATGACCTGCCCACCAAAGTCCTTGGGATTTCACTAGATATTTGTTTTAATGCTTAATAAATGTAAAGGTTTTATTTAAAATGATGTAAGGAAACTTGATTGGGATTGGGTGATTCCTAGGAAGACAGCCAGCAGTGGAGTGGAACAAAAGGTGGTCTGCAGGGGAGGGGAGTGGAGCCAGGAGGAAGAGACTAAGTGGAAGAGTGAAGGGATGGAGGTGAAGATTGGGAAGGCAAACGCAAGCAGTGTAGCAAAATGAAGTGGACAGCATCAGATCTGGTGGCAGCAGGGAGTACATCAAAAGACAACGGGAAATCAAGTGGGGGAGGGGATTAATTGTATGGCAACGAGATACTGAAAACAGGTCAAAGCCACCAAATGGTGGCAAAGATGTCAGCCAAACAGCATAGCCTGGGAAAGTGGCATCATTAATTTAGTAGGCCAAATGGATGTTCGGTCCAGTAGCATGAATGGAGCTTACAGAATAGGGGGGTTAAACAATGAGAGGGAGTTTGCTGAGTTAATCTGAAGTCAGTCTGAAGGCAGGGGAGAAAAGCACCTTTTTAGACTAACTAAATCATTTTATCAGTGCACTGTAGGAGAAGGCAGTTAGCCCAACTCATTCTGCCTGACTCTGCCCTTAGCCCTGACCCTGCAAACTCATGGGTTTCCCTGGGTCTTCCATTGGCATGGGCATCAAGGTGCAGAGTCAGGCTCAAAGAGTCATACCTCTTTTTTCTGGTCGGCTCACTCAAGTACAGTGATCGCCAGCCATACCATAGCATGGTATGAAGCCTCCATTTGGTTGGCAAATCTAGATCAAGAATTAATGATAGCTAACGAGGAAATATGGTATTGGTTATGTTGCACTCATGTGGACCTTCTTTTGAACCAGATCAAACGAGGAGATCCTGTCACTGAGAAGGAGTTTCAGAGGAATAAAGTGGAAGTTTCTCTCAGGCGTGTGATCCGCTCTGTTGAACAGGTATGCCCATATTATTCTAGCCAGAGGTGACCAAACTGCAGGATGCATACCCCTGCTGGGATCAGAGGACTCTTCTCACCTTGACTGATTGCACGAGCACAGAGGTTTTCTGGCTGATTGTGTCCAGTAAAGGCAGCCTCTGTATGGCATGCAGCAGACTGGGGCAGGGACAGGGAGCACAGTGGCAGATAGGGAGGGAAGCAGAAGGCAGAGCAGCAGATCAAGCAAGGAGCACAGGGCAGGAAGCAGCAAGCAGAGGAGCCATTTGGGCAGGGGAAAGGGATCAGAATGGCACTCGAGGAGGATGTGGGGCTAATTTGTGACACACCTGCCCAAAAAGAGGTTTAGCCCCACTCTTGACAACGTAGCTGTTTTAATTTTTCCACATCTTTAGAATGAAAGCAAATTTCTGTACTTGTGTATCACTTTCAGTGCTATTTTTCAAAGGGGAGGGCTCGCTGTACACCCAGGACAGCACAGTGCAAACAGCATCGCAAGTGCAGATAAGCAGACAGGGGTATCTGATGTCAGTTGTGCTCTGCTGTTGCTATAAAGCAGGGCTGTCCAAACTGCAGTTGCCCAATGTCTCCTGTAAGTGCCTAAATCATGGTTGGCAGGGCCAGAGGTTCTGTGGCAGGGCAAGCAGTAGCAGCACCCCCCGCCCCACAGCTGTGTCGGTGTAGCCAGCACCCCAGGAATTAATGCCACCATTGCTTGCCTGCTGCACCATTGCTTGCCCTCCAGGTTGAGGTCCCCATTGGGGTCACCTTTCAGTGACGGTAGTGTTAACCCTGTGGGTGCTGGTCAACTCACTGCTGAAACTCTAGGTCGAGATCCCTATTGGGGAGTTCTTTTGACACCGGGGTAAGCGGAGGCAATGTAATCAGCATATGGAAGTTAACGCTACTGCCATTCACTCCACCACCAGAGGTGGGTGGTGTGGCCTGCGAAAATCCCTGCAGTTCACATCTTGCCAACTCACGAGTTAGACAGTCTTGCTATAAAGGACAACACAGAGGCCTGACAATTGCAGAACAGTGGTTTGTAATGGTTGTAGGAGCTGTCTGCTCACTGCAGCTCTCAGCTCTTTCATAGTTTCATATTTGTTAGGGGCTGGAAGGGACCTTACAGATCATCGGGTCCAGCTCCCCTGCGCTTGGGCAGGAAAGATTGCTGGGATCAAAGGACTCTTCTCACCTTGAATGACTGGACGAGCACAGAAGTTTTCTGGCTGATTGTGTCCTTTTCTTAAACGATTTGACCTGTGGGGAATGTATTCAGCCCATGATATTGCCCTTGTTACCTCTGCTTGCACCCTTGTGTGCTAGGCCAGATTTGGATATCAAGGTCCAACACTTTAAGTATGGAGCATAGGCCAAAACTGCTTTCAGTGAATTGAATAGGAATATTGTCATTGATTTCAACAGGATGAAGTTTGGCCCTAGCATCATTAGAGCAGTGATGTAAGTTTGGATTGACATTGGTATGAGGGAGATCAGAATGCAGTCAGCTTTCTTTGACTCTAAAGTAATTCCATTCACGCTGAAGCTACTTTAGCTTTTACATTAGTAAAACAAGGAAATATATTATTTCTTCAACTATTTTAACAGTAACTTTCTATTGAAACTATTGATGATGTCCATTTAATAGCCAATGGTGTGATATGGCAATGGGAGCAGAATTCATTTATTAATTACTAACTATTTTTTACCTGGTATAACCTCAGTGTTAGGCAATAGCCAGTAGATGCAGTCCAAGGAATGCTTGCTAGAAATTCCTCCATTTTTTAGTTATAAAAATGATAATCTTTTCTCATTTTCTGTGAACCACACAGTGTCCCAGTGTTCAGCCCAAGTTTGACCTCCTCCTCAATGACCCTTGGGCCAGCAGACACAGGACTCAGCGGCGGTTTCAACAGACAGCTTGCAAGGTAATTTGAAGCAACCAAAATTCAGTCTGAGAACGACACTTGTGGGCTAAAAGTTTCTATCCTCAAAGAGCCAACCAAGGTAGCCAACAAGCAACACTAATATGTTGTAACTTTAGCACCGTTAACAAAATCTGTAAGTAATTAGAGTAGGTCAATATAAAGCAGGCATAAAATGCTAACAGTTAAAAACATAGAATTTTTACAAAAAAAGTAGAAAAAGGAAAGAAGACAGAAAAAAATCATTTTTTCCAAATGTGAACAAAAAGGTGGTTCATGAAACTAAATACATTGATTTTACCTGGCCACCCTACAGTTCTGTCACTCGCTCCCTGCAAATCCAAATGCAAAAGCCAGTAGAGAGTCTCAATCTCTTGGTGGCCTCAGAGCAAAGTTAGATCCATGTCTTGAAGATGTAATTTAGTGAAACTCAAGTTATGTGCAATGCAGGCAGAAATCTGTGGTCTGTGACCTGTTCAGGAGATTATATGGTCTAATGATCCTTTCTGGCCTCAGTATCCATGAATCCCTGCTACCAGAATAAGGTACAATGCTTTGTAGAAGGAAAAATTCCCTTTAGGGTTGACTCTTGTTTTACAGGGGCCATATCAAATCCGTTGCCCCACTCCAGCAATTGGATTCCTATAGGAAGATCTGTGTATCCATATAGACCCAGGTATATGAGCAGGGCCTGTATATGCCATTTTCATTTAAAATAGTTTTTTTTTTTGGATATCCCTGCCACATATACCGCCCTCCTCCACCAAAAATATTTTGGATATACCTGCCACATATACCGCCCTCCTCCACCAAAAATAACCTAGGAAAAATTCTAAAATGGATGCATATGTCAAAAAAAATCCTGTCACCGGAAGTCCAAGTGGCTTTTGTAGGATAAATAATGTTGTGTGTACTATGAATCACCATAAACGTTGATTATTCAGTTTATTATTAACTGGAAATCTTTAAACAATTATTATAGATCCTGATTCAGTGCCGGCTAAATCGCATCTTACTTTTGTTTCGTGAACTAGTGAAAGACACCAGAAGGCAAAGGGATGAGGAAAGCTCCATATCAGGTAAAGCATAAGATCAAATATTTGCCTTTTGGCTAATCTGAATTCATGTTGATTATCACAGGCACTCGCACTCTTGCCCACTTTCTTACACATACACTCTCGCACTTGCTCACACTCACAAAGGAGTAGTCCCTGCTCAAGAATTTATAATCAGAAGACATGAGTATTACCTGACAGGTGGACAGAGGTGATTTCCATGAGCAACAGAGGTGGTTATCTGTAGGGCAGGGTGATACCTTAAAGGCTAGTATCCAATGAAGTAGTCAGTCACCTGTGAAAGCTCACACCTCTCTGAACCAGTTACTTTCTAGGATGTCACCCTGTCCTACCTTCTGCCTGGAGAAATGGAGAGGTGTAGTCAGCATAAACAGATGCACTGTGCCTAATTCATGCACATCCTTTACAAGCATTGAGAACAGCTCTAATTATTCTTAAGATCCTTGCAGTGTATCCATTGTTACTTGGGAGGTCATCAGGTAGGATGTTGGTCTTGAGGGGGAAGAGGTGATATGGACCCTCGACTCAAGCAGAGGAGCCCCTTTCATGAAGAGCAGTGTAGAAGGTGTGTCCAGGTGTGTTTGAAAAGCAGACAAATAGGTAGGCAAGACTGGCATCACTTATGGAGAGGAAGAGGCTAGAAGGAGTGCAGTAAGACAAGGCAGAGTTGGGGAAGATCTCGAATGAAAGGAATTGGTAATATGTGTGAGGAGGGAACTAGAAAGGGAAAAGCCAGATTTCTAGTGCTGACAAGGTTCTTTGTGCCATGACTTTTATCTTCTGAAACTTTTCCTGTACATATGCTCACCAGTATTTGCATGGTTTCAGTCTGGGATCTGGATGAGCTACAAAAAATAGTGGATCGTTTCCATATAATGAAGTGGAAGTGTTGCTACAGAGAAGTTACTCGCGTTATAACAATCAGGAAAGGAAAGGGGTTTTTGATAAACCATAGCCAGGGCCAGCCTTCAAGACAGAGGTCTTGACCCTAGCCAACAGTGGGAATTTTATGGCTTTCAGTAGAAAGGACACATAAGACTTAAATATGTGTCCTGCACACAGTTGAGGTGAAGCAAATGGAACGCAGTGCTTTAGAAAGGGAGAAAAGAAGACAAGAGGTCAAAAATGCCTGGTAAGGGGAATTTGAGACTGGCTTGTTATCAGATCTTCCTGATAATCTTAGCGCTGTGCCTGTAGCACAGTGAGTCTTCAAGAAGTTAAAGCCTTTTTGCGGCTTGATGTATCCTAACTGAGTTATCTTACCTTTTAGTACAAGATGTTGGTTCTTTTCCCACACATAGCAGAAAACAGCATTTTCAAAGCCTTGATCACACCTATGGGTGAGGAGCACGACAGAGTCACTTCCAGCTTGTCTGTGAGTCGCGTATTACCTTTTGACTTCCCCATGTGCCATCCGCCTCAGAGGTCTGATGAACTGGTAGGTAGCATGGTTACAATGGCAACAGATAAAGTATGGTGGGTCTAGTTCTCTTTTACACGGAGGCTACCTTACCCAACTTTGAGACTTTAGATAGGCTTTAATGTGGGGATAAATATAATTCACAGAGTGGGGCAAAACAGCTTGGCTTGGGATATTGTGTCCAGATCAATAGATATTATAGTTGAAGTACCATTAACACCAGTCAAGCTGCAATAGTTTGCTCTAAGTAGGATATACCCCTTGACTTATAAACACCACTGCATTATTTTGCCTTGAAAGACCATCCCTTTACATCATGCAATAGGCATGAAAAGTACTTTATGCATATACATGAAAGCAAGATCCCTGGTCCCATCACCTGACTAAAAATCACTACTGTTACCAAGTCACTGTTCTTATTTCCTTTCAAATCTGTGCTTGGTATAGTTTCGTAGCTTCAGCAGATCCCGCCCCCCCCTTTGTACAGGACCATCTACGAACTCTGCCAAGCAGCTATTTTTTGGCCACTTGAGAGACTAGTATAGATTTTACCATAGAAAATCTTTTGAAGATTAAAGATTATACTACAGACCCCCCTTGTCTTTGGCAGGGTCTGTATAATTGAGGCTGGACCTGAGCTCTCCACCTTCCCCATTTCAAAAATAGTTGAACAAGTCCTCTTCATTTTGAATTGACACAGAGATAGAGAGGGGCGATGAAAACCACACAGCTGGATGCCTCTTGCTTACAACTGCAGGGCATGTGGGACAAGAGATGCACCCACAGCAATGTTATGTGAAGAAGCAACTCGGCTCTCAGGTCACTGTAGATTAACCTTTGTGTTGCAATTTTAAAGTAGTGATCAGGACATATGACCGGACGTTTTAATAACTTCAATTCCTAGCCCATCCCCAGCATTTTGCATCAGAAGATTGCAAAATGCTTTACAAAGGAGATGGATGGTATTGTCTCAATTTTACAGCTAGGGAAGCTGAAGCACAGAGAGAATTGTTTTGCTGAAGGTCACTGGTTGAACCAGAAATAGAACCCAGATTGCCTAAGCCCCAGTCCAGCATTTTACCTGTTAGGTCTCCCCTTATTCAGCCACTACTGTAGTAGCTGCCTTACAGATACCTCTGCTACAGAGTTATAGACTTCTGTATTCAGACAAAGGCAGGGTCATGAACATGGCCATTCCCACTGGAGGCCTTTCTAACCTTCTCAGCTAAAGCCCCCAAGGGCAGCACCTACCAGAAAGATGTCTGTGGGCCCATTTGAGCGGGTGCTTCTAGACGCATCTGAAACTCCACGGACTATATAATCAATGGATTATACAATCAGCATCGCAGATACTAGAGAACTCATCTGCAAAACAAAGGCTCTTCATTCAACCCAATACATTTATTAAAAATGATGTTGAAATAGTGAAAAGAATAGGGAATTTTTACATTGTAGTAGCTGATTTTTTTTTACTGTAGCAAAGTTCACAGCAGCACACCGATGACTAGGAGTGACCGAAATATAATTTTTGAGCAGGAAAACAAAAGGACTGAAATGTCTACCAAAAAAGCAGGGAGGAAATGTGTGCATGGTTCTTCCCTTGTGTTCAACTGGCTGAATCAATGGCTTATTTTGTCTGAAAGAGAAAATGCTCATTATACTTTTGTGTCTTATGTCTGAAAAAGAAAATGCTCATTATACTCTTGTGTCTTAAAAGACTGTGTGTTGTTGCAGGCTCCTGATGCTCTTGGCCCAGTTCCTCTCAAGCCTTTAGACATGAAAATCAAACATTCTCATCCGTTCTACAGTTTGCAGGTCAGCCGCTATCACTTGTGCAGCTGTCTTAAGTTACTTTATTTCAGCGGGGCTAGTTTGACATAAGACATATGGTACCACATTTGGGGCCTAATCAGTAGTCCCTGGACTTCTGCTCAATGAGAGCTTCCCCTGCATATAAGCTAGTTGCATGTAAGGGTTGGTGGATCAGACTGCCAGTGTTTTGGGTCAGTTTTAAGTATGGCCTCATCGGGAATACTCTGCCCCATTCTGGTTATCTGTGTTCAGGGAGAAAAAACTCAAACTGGAGGAAGTGCTGAGAAAGGCAAGGGCTGGGTTAGACACCGGGGAGGATGAAGAGCTATGTAAGTGAAATGACATTGCTCAAGCACAGCTTCTCTCTACCCCTTTGATCTCGTACTGGCTGTGCAAGAATTTACTAACTCCCGATTATGAATATCACCTCACACACAGCCCCTTTTGGAAGAACAGCAGTGGACATAGTCCTTTACAGTTCATGTGATTGGCCTGAGCTGGTCCAAGTTTTTAGCAGATATCAAGCATGTCTTACATCAGAGATTAGGTGAAACACCCATGTTTCCATACATATCATTCCATACATGAGCTAATAGACACTTCAAACACATTGAGCAGTTTTTCAAGTGTTGCGCTAGATCCTTTTCCTTTGTACCTAGGTTCCTCAGCACTTCAGCATTATGAGGTACCAGCCGTTTTGCACACACCATGCTGCAACAAGTTACAAACCGCAAAAACTTTCCCGACCACTGAAACAGGGAGCCAAGGTAATGGGTCAACCAGTAGCCTTGACTTGACTTTACTGTACCCCATCTTGTCACAATACTCCATACCCAAAAGCCAACTGACAACCTTTGTCTTCTTCATTGTCTAAGGATGAACTGATCACAATAGTAGCCTCTCCTAAGGCCCAACTTACTCCTACCGCACCTCAGAAAGATCTTCACAAACATGAATCCATGGCAGAGGGCACGAGCCTTTTAAAACTGGCACCACCCAAAGCCTTACTCCAACCTCCAGACAGTCACCCACTTCGCGTTTTTGTAAGTAGGAGTTGGCTCTGATAAAGCACCCAAGAGTTGGGTGGGGAGAGAGGGAACGGAGGTTTGTTTCACCCGACGTTTGGTTTGGAATTGGAGGGCAATTGTCTAAGATAGACTTTGATCTAAGAATTGCCTACCCTAGTGCCAGGTTGTGTTGTCAGGCACGTTCCTCGTATCAAGGTCCTGCAGACCCCCACCCTCCTAGCAAGTTTCAACCCTGTTGAGTGGGGACAGAAAAGCCTAACTGGTTTTAAGATGGCGCTTGATCAGTTTGTGAAGGGGATTATGTGGCACATTTGCCTTTGAGAGCAGAGGGCTGGAGGCAATGACCCAGGAGGTCCCTATCAGTCCTACATTCCCTATCAGCCCTACATTCCCTATTAGTCCTACATGCTCAGGGAATTTGGGCCCTCTTTCATGCGCCAGGAGCACACCTGCTATCACAGGGCATATGGGAGTATAGCTTGTTCTTCCCTGGCATCAGTCCTGTACGACGGGAAAGCTATGTCCTGGGCATCTCCCCCGGTGGACAGCAGAGAGCTTGGACAGGATAAAGAAGGTAGTAGACCTGTGATCAAGGGGTTGGTAAGAGAGATCAAGTGTTGAGCTGAACAATTCATAAGAGGAGAGTCAAAGTAGAACAGAGGCGTTGGAGGCTGGGGATGGGATGTCTGCTGTTTTTCACTACAAGAACTGAGCTCTCAGTGGCAGACTTGTTCATGGGGCTCGGAGTTACGTTTTCTGCATGTTTTTCTTGTTTGCTTTTAGAATCCCACTCCAGGGTTGTCAGTTTTTATGCCGCCTTTGCCCTATTCAGAAACAAACATCGAATATCACCTTTGCCCTCACCCAAAATATCCAGTCACCAAAGAATGCCCGAAGGGATCCAGCATCCCAATGACACAGAAGAAATTTCTGCATCGCAAGGTACAGACTTTTTGTTTCCTTGTGTTAATACTTTTTCAGGGCACAGGGCAGCAAAGGATTTGTCTTGTGGAATTAAAGGGGAAGATGAATGGTTATCCCAGCTGGAAGGCATTTCAAACTGCGTCATGTATACAGCATGTTCATCATTAGCATCTGCTGTTAGATGCGGTGATTGTTGCAAATAGATCATTCCTCCATTAGGTTTCCATGCCCCTTCTACAGCACTAGGGTTTTCCCTACTATTTCCCTTTTCGCCTCTGCTGCACTGATGTGACCTTTGGCCTGGAGCTTTTATCTTTTCGGGTGAGGAGAACTGAAGCCTGCCAAATGCACCCTTAGCTGGGCAAAACCAGACCTTCTCTTCTGCTCTCTCCTATCACACCTTTCTCCAGCATGTGGCATTTTATAGGCTTGATCACTGTGTCTTTTCAGGAAGTCATCCGAGGAGTAATGAACTGGAGAAGATTCCTGCCACTGGTGTATTCTTGGTCTGACACTCCCAATCTGACAAACCCAGCAATGTCTTACTGGTAAGAAAGATTTCAATACAAAACACCTTGGCTCTGGGGCAGATTCTGCCATGTCTTATCTCATCTCACACGTTGTCCCACTGATGCAACCAGGACTACTTGCAATGCAAATTAATACTCAGTGGTTCCAGTCCTGTGGCAGCTGCAGTCAATGAAAAAATTCCCATTGGGAATCCTCCCAAAGGGACCAGGCTCAGTGCAAGTAAAGGGGACAGCCTGTCCCTATTATAAGGGTGCCATCCCAGACCTTTTGGAGCATGAATGGTCTTTGCTTCAACCCCAGGCCAGTGTGAGAGTTACTAGCAAGCCAGCTCCTCTTACCCTGCAGTAGGATGCCAGTAAGACATGTGTGTGCAAGACATTGGTATTTAATGGCAGTACCCGTCCTCCTCAGCTCTGCTGCTTCTCTCCTCCTGCTCCCATAGTGCTAACTCAAAGGAGGTAAGGGACATATTAGCTCCAGTTGGAGCACTTAGGTCCCCAGTCCACCCTTGTTCAGTGGACTTTCAGACATGGCCCTTATGAAGTCAGTGGGTGTCTTTCAGTCGTGCTTAACTATAAGCATATATAGCAAAAGCCGTGTTATCTGGCATTTTACCAACCGGAAGCTCCACTAACCGACACCTGTCAATGCAAATCTTCCTTCTGAGGGATGCGGTAAAGGCAAAACTGAAGTCCCACTTCCAGTTTCACTGCCGCAAGCCAAGTCCCACTTCTTCCTTGTGGACCACGGCCCAGGGCAAAGCCGCCAGTGCGGGGCCCCCCTCCCTGTCCCCTGGCACACTGATGCCAGGGAGTGAAAGCCCTGGTGCACCAGACACAGCATATTTGACTAACTGGCATATATGATTAACCGGCATCCCCCATTCCTGGGAGATGCTGGATAACAGAGCTTTTACTGTATTTAAATGCTTCTGAAACCAATGTGATTTCAGCAGGTGCCAGTAAGACACTGGTATTTAAGACTCTGGGATCTGATGGCAGGACCTGTCATCCAACACAGCACATCACATACTTCAGGGCTTCGTAGGACTGGAGGCTTAGAACTGACTACAACTCCCTGCTGTATTGGGCAGTTTAGCGTGCTGATAGCTGAATAAAAGCATTTCAAAGCCTGTGTAGTTAAAGGTAATCACCAGACCTTTATGTAGACACAGAAATCAATGACCTGGAGTCAGTGGGAACAATACACATTCATCACCTCTGAAAATCAAGCCATTTATTTAGGTGGCTAATGCCTTGCTTCAGGCACCACGTCTACAGATTCAGGACCTAATAGGCATCTCTTTGTCTCGCAAGACAACAGAATTACTCCAAGTGAGACATTAGCTCACTGAACGTAATCCTTGAAAACGAAGCTGGAGTGACCTCTCCAGGATGCAAAAGCCTGGGCCGTGTGTATGGAGACACTGAGCTGCACACACACCAGCATCCCCTTCAGCCTTGCTGGTTTAATCCAAAGTAAAGGCAGGTGTTGGTACGTTTGGAACCAGCTTGGCCGCAGGAGCTGCCGGAGGAAAGGAGATCAACCATTTTTGTTCACTCCATGATAGGGTGGACCGGGTTCTTTAACCCTGGTTGGCAGCCAGTCTAGGAGTGGAACCGAGTCCATCCGATAGATGGACCACCGTTCTAACATAACTAGAAAAGGATGTTCACTGCTGTAAAAGACCTTTTTAAAGAACAGAAGTGCATTTTGTTAATTTGTATGCTTATAAAGTAACTAACTGATATATCTTAAGGAAAGTCTAGCAGGATTGGAAACTTAAGAGAAGGTGCAAAAACTTTTTGTCATCTGCTGTTACTTATCTTGCCCTACTCAAATGTATGATTATGTCATTTCCACAGCAGGGATCCCTACAGTTTAGATATGCTTCCAAGTGAGGGACCTCCAAGGCTGGACGAATTACCTGAGAGGGACAAGGAAAACATAATCAACTAGTAAGTTGGCTCTCTTTTCTCTCTATTTATTTGTCATATTCTGTTTTGATTTGTAAGCACTTTGTGTGCATTTCAGCACAATGTGCAGATGGTCCCCCTTGCATAAAACTTCCTCTTGTTTCTCCAGGCTAAAACATTGGCAAGATTAAAAATAAAAGGTAAAAAACTATGTTTTTTCCAACTTACTGAATTTTAGTGAGACTGATGATGAGACTGAGTTAAGGGTTGTACTCACTCCGGAGATGGTGAAAGCTGAATTTCCACAGATTGAACGCCTACCACAGGAAGAAAACAGAAGTAAGCCAGGGAAAGAAGAAAGGTAATGGCACATTTATTGAAACAGAGGGAAGAGGCTTGGGGAGGATTTTGAGGGTGACCATCTTGTTTCGGTGTTTGTATAAGCCCAGAGTAGAAGTGTCAGAGCAACTCAATCAGTGAGGTTACATTCAGATCTTGCACATAGAGCCGGTCCATAGTCCCTTTATTACATACATGAAGACTTGAATTTAGTCCCAAAATTGAGCCCACTCACTCTTATTGGTGCATTGCATTTTCCTTGATAGTTTTGTTCAGGCATTTGCCAAGGTTGGGTTTTGCCTTTTAATGACTTTTAATGACTCCTCTAGAAAAAATAGTCAAAGACACTAAAAACTCCCAGCTACCTACCTATACTCATTTACATTGTGTCTTGGACACTAGCCAATTCTTAAAACATCACCTTTATAAGTACAAATTACTGTGCCCTGACAAGTCATAATTAGACCCCTGTATGGGAAAGACAAGGGTCCCATCAGGGTTTGCCAGCTATTTTCATCTTGTAGTGCTGAGGCCCTACATCCCCAGATGTGTGAAGAGATCCTAAGAGCCTGCAGGCTGTATGAGTTAGATGGTTAGAAACAGGGCTAACACCGATGCCTTGACTTCAAGGGGCACTAAGCAGAAGCTCTGCAGGGAACAAGGAGGGGCTCTAGATGGGTGTAAGTGGTGCTGAGGGTGTTATAAGATGTGAGCAAGGCAGCAGAGGTAAAATGCAATGGTGAGCATAGCCCTGCAGAGGCAGGGACACTGTGCTAGTAGCAACGTGGTCTGGAGAAGGAGGTGCAGGGTGGGCAGCGGGAGGTCTGATTTCTAAACTTTTGCCTGGCTGTGGGGAAGCTGCATCACCTTTCTGTACTTTGGTTTCCCCATCTGTAGAAAAAGGGGGTTATGGGTTTTGCCTCTGTATGTGGTTAATGCTTGTACACCACTTTGAACAGACTGAGGTTTTCAAAGCCATGTATGAGATGTGAATGTCTGATTCCCTTTAACATTAAAGCAATCAGTTGTCCAGACCCTTAGAAAGCATAGTTGCCATTAAGCTTTATATAAATGCTGAGCATCGTGACCACTCTAATGTTACAGTACTAACATCTTGACAGCGTTTATTGAAACTAATTTGCAGTAAATAAGCACATGGGTTTATTGATGGGTCCCTAATGGCTGACTGAGTGCTGCTTTCTATGTCTCCTTTCACTGGGCTGTTCAGAGGATTTGGGGTAGCTTATACTAAATAGTCGCCTTTTTCTCCACAGTGATGCGGCCCTGGATGGCAAACTTACTTACTCCAATGCAGTGAACAACCCTACTTCTCCTTCTGGGTAAGCAGATGTGCAAACATAAGAGTCATTCCTTTAACAAATCAGTATTTTCCACGAAGCTGAAAACACGGGCCCATGTGAAACCCATCTTGGAGACTGATGTCACGTGTTTTCCGTTTCAGTCGGTTTGAGAACCTCTGTGCCAGCCAAAGGAGCCTGTGCTATTTAAGACTGGTTTGCAGATGAGCACAACCTCCTGCAATGAACACTGGGTTTGGGCTGCTCATTGCATCGACTACAACACTCATCTGCTGTTCTTATTGTTATGGACACTGGATTGGGCCTGAAATGCTTGCTAATAAATTATTGGCTCCTCATCTCATAGTTGGACAGGAAACCTTTCCCCACATCTTGTCACGTAGCAAAAGCTAAGCCAGTCCAAGGCTGTTCCTAAAATCTACTAGTAGGATGTTTTCACTGTCTCAGCATGAAGAGGGGACCCGTGACCTATGGAATGACAAAGTTCATGGATCTCCTGGCCATGCCCTATCATCTCTCAGGCCTGTTCTCAGGTTTTGGTGCAGTCATGGAAAGAGCAACTTTGTAAGATATGGGTCTTCTGTTGCTTCCCAGCCACGCTCGAGGTTTTACTCAAGGGTTCACCATTTTTTGTATTCTGGTTGCTTTAGTCATCATGTGCTTTTCCATGGGCAAGCCAGAGACTGAATCTTGCACAATAAGGATTGTGGTCAGATTAACTTCAAACTCCTTGAGTTATGAAATCCACAGAGAAGCTGTCACAAAGGCGAAAAAATGCAATAAGAACAGCAGACAACAGCTCATGTATTCTCAATAAAAGGCTCGTCAGGACTATTGTTACACATATATGGGAGCTGTGTGAACGTGTACGTGTGTGTGTTTCGGTGCCCAGAATGGCGGGGCTGTTACCAGATTTGCCCATCACCTTGGGGTGTGCTCATTTATTAAGGATACATTTCTAGGGTCTTGGTAATTCTACCAATGGGCTGCTTGTGTTACTTGTGTTACTATACGGAGCTGTATCTCTCCCTTCTGCAAGTCCTCACCCCCAATGGAGCTATCTTGCAGGACTCAGTTTCAATGGGGCTGGGTTCCTCCAGTCACCAAATCAGTCATACACACACAAACACACACAGAATTATATCTTCATTAATGATGTGGACACTGGATCTTCATTAATGATGTGGACACTGGAGTCAGAAGCGGACTGGCCAAGTTCGCCGATGACACCAAACTTTGGGGCAAAGCATCCACACCAGAAGACAGGCAGGTTATCCAGGCTGACCTGGACAGGCTCAGCAAGTGGGCGGACGAGAATCTGATGGTGTTCAACGCCGATAAATGCAAGGTTCTCCACCTTGGGAAAAAAAAACCCGCAGCATCCTTATAGGCTCGGCAGTGCTATGTTGGCTAGCACTATGGAAGAAAGAGACTTGGGGGTCATCATTGACCACAAGATGAACATGAGCCTGCAATGCGATGCGGCGGCTAGTAAAGCAACCAAAACGCTGGCTTGCATCCATAGATGCTTCTCAAGCAAATCCCGGGACGTCATTCTCCCCCTGTACTCGGCCTTAGTGAGGCCGCAGCTGGAGTACTGTGTCCAGTTTTGGGCTCCACAATTCAAAAAGGATGTGGAGAAGCTTGAGAGAGTCCAGAGAAGAGCCACGCGCATGATCAGAGGTCAGGGAAGCAGACCCTACGATGACAGGCTGAGAGCCCTGGGGCTCTTTAGCCTGAAAAAGCGCAGGCTCAGGGGTGATCTGATGGCCACCTACAAGTTTATCAGGGGTGACCACCAGCATCTGGGGGAACGTTTGTTCACCAGAGCGCCCCAAGGGATGACGAGGTCGAATGGTCACAAACTACTTCAAGACCGTTTCAGGCTGGACATAAGGAAGAACTTCTTTACTGTCCGAGCCCCCAAGGTCTGGAACAGCCTGCCACCGGAGGTGGTTCAAGCGCCTTCATTGAACACCTTCAAGATGAAACTGGATGCTTATCTTGCTGGGATCCTATGACCCCAGCTGACTTCCTGCCCTTTGGGCGGGGGGCTGGACTCGATGATCTTCCAAGGTCCCTTCCAACCCTAATGTCTATGAAATCTATGAAATCTACTCAACCCCTTCCCAGTACAGACCTGGAGTGTCATTTGTGATTCTCTCTCTTTCTCTGTGTTCCTAATAGGAACAAAAGCAACACAGGCAAAGTATGTCCTCAAGCGGATCCCAAACAGCTCGCATTGTATTCCAAATCAGATCTCATTTCTTCCACAACTCTCCCCCTGCCCCCATCTTCACAATGAACATGGTCCTCTGAATGCAGAGCTACTGCCAACCAGTTGCGTCACCTCCCTGCTCCTAATAAACAACCTTGATGGGAGAGCCATGTTACGTAGCTACAGTGCATGCATTACATTTACTTCCATTTACAAGTCCCAGCTCCAAAGGGCTCTCAAGGCAGCAGTAAGTATTAACAACCTCATTTCTAAAAATATCTTACATTATATCAAAGGGACTGAGTAATTGGTCCCTGTGGCAGGTCATTTGGGTTTCAATGCTGACAGGTAAAGTTCTTAGCACAGTCCTTGAAGGGAGACAACAGCGGTAGTGTCAAAGAGACTTCTTCTCTTGAAGCACACACACACTTTGCTGCTTTTTTTACAGATTTTTATACCCTCAGTTCAGCTTCTTCAGAGCATTCTCAATAGTGTAAATCATTGTCTTTTCT